AAAAAAGAAAAGAGAGAGAGAGAGACAGGGACAAGACGGCCATCTACAAGCCAAGGAGAGAGGCCTGGAACAGAACCTTCCTTCAGAGCCCTCAGAAGGAACCAGCCCTGCCCACACCTTCGTCTCAGACTTCCAGCCTCCAGAATTGTGACGAAATACGTTTCTTTTGTTTAAGCCATTCAGCCTGTGGTATTTTGTTATGTTAGCCCTAGAAAACGAAAGCACTAAATGAGACCTTTTTGTTCCCGAATGTGTAAACTAACATACAAGGAGTTCTTACAAATTTATGAGATCAAAATGCCAATAAGGGGTCGGCCCATGGCCGAGTGGTTAAGTTTGACTGCTCCACTTCGGCGGCCCAGGGTTTTGCTGGTCCGGATCCTGGGCATGGACATGACACCACTCATCAGGCCATGCTGAGGTGGCATCCCACACAGCAGAGCCAGAAGGACCCACAACTAGAATATACAACTATGTACTGGGGGGCTTTGGGGAGGGGAAGAAGAAAAAATGATTGGCAACAGATGTTAGCTCAGGTGCCAATCTTTAAATTAAAAAAAAGCCAATAAAACGTGGACAAAGAAGGTGATGTAAGATTCACAAGAGAAATACAAATGGTCAAGGAATATTAAATATGTTACCAAATAGGAAATACAGTATTCCAAATAAATTTAAATAAAACTGAAGCAGTTAAATGCCACGGGGACCAGGGAATGGATCTCAGGAGAGAAGAGGGGAATGAGTGAGAAACAGGAAATCTGAATGGAGCCTGCAGTTTAGGCACAGATAATGGATCAGCGTCAATGTCTTGTTTGGGCAGATGCTCGTGGCTCTGTAAGTTATAACATTAGGGGAAGTAGAGACCAGGTTACATGGGAACTCTGTGCCGTCTTTGTAACAATTCTGTTAATCTAAAATTATTTCAAAATAGAAAGTTAAAATGTTCTTGAAGGATTCAGTAGTAGTACATCGCGGTGAAGCACCTTGGACTCTGGGGGTCAGACTGCCCGGTCTCATGTCATAGCCCTGTCACTTACTAACTGTGTGGCCCTGGACAAGTGTCCTAGTCTCTCTGAGCCTCTATTTCCTCATCTGTAAAATAAGAATTAATCATAGTCCTTACCTTACAGACTTGTTGTGAGGATTAAACTAGTTAATACAGATAAAGAGCTCAGAACAGTTTCTGAAAATTAATAAACAGTAGATACATACTTGCTAGAATTATTTTTATTTTTGCTGATGATATTGGCAAATATTAAAAAATTGACAATGAACATGGTTGGCGAGGATGTGGGTAAATGGGAACTCATTTGCACTGTTGGTGGGAAAGAAATGGGCAGAGTGATCATTGTTATTAATATTTTAACAGCTGTATTGAAATATAATTTACATACCATGAATTTCATCTGTTTAAATTGCGGAGTTAAATGATTTTTTTAGTATATTTACAGAGTTGTGCAAGCCATCAACATAATCTAATTTTTTATCCTTTTTTTTTTTTTGAGGAAGATCAGACCTGAGCTAACATCCACTGCCAATCCTCTTTGTGCTGAGGAAGATTGGCCCTGAGCTAACTTCTGTGCCAATCTTCCTCTATTTTATATGTGAGACGCCTGCCACAGCATGGCTTGATGAGCAGTGTGTAAGTCCACACCCAGGATCTGAACCACTGAACCCCAGGCCGCCAAAGAGGAGTATGAGAACTAAAGCACTAGGCCATGGGGCCGGTCCCAACATAATCTAATTTTAAGTGTACAGTTCAGTGAGTTCAGTGGTTTTTAGCATTTTCACAAAGTTGTGCAAGCATAACCACTATCTAATTCCAGAATATTTTCCTCACCTGAAAATCAAGCCCCTTTTTCATTAGCCGCCACTCGTGATGCCCCTCTCCTCACCTTTCCCTGCTCAGCACCTGCTTCCTTTCTCTATAGATTTGGACATTTCATATAAATGAAATTTTACAATATGTGGTCTATTGTGTCTGGCTCCTTTGACCCAGGATGTTTTCCAAGTTTGCCTGTCTTGTGGAAGGTGTCAGGACTTCACTCCTCTTCATCACCAGACAATATTCCCTTGTATGGATACACTACATTTTGTTTATAGTCATTTCTTTGTTTTCATATGCCTATTTTTTAGCACAACAATCAGACTTCTTGGGATCATCTAAAAAGCTAGCAACGGGGCCGGCCCGGTGGCGCAGCTGTTAAGTTCGCATGTTCTGCTTCTGTGGCCCAGGGTTTGCCAGTTCGGATCCCAGGTGTGAACTTGGCACCGTTTGGCATGCCATCCTTTGGTAGGTGTCCCACATATAAAGTAGAGGAAGATAGGCACGGATGTTAGCTCAGGGCCAGTCTTCCTCAAAAAAAAAAATTAAAATTAAAAAAATTAAATAAAATAGCTATCGCATTTGCAATGAATGAATAAGGCTTGTACTACTTGCTTAATGTCCATCTCTCCTTGGCTCTTCCTGCCGTATCCCCAGTTCCTATAAGAAACATCAGCACCTAGTTGGTGTTCAGTCGCTGCCTTAAGCTCTATTTGTTCATCTTAGCAGCAGCCTAGTATCCTATTGTGTGAATACACATACACACACCACACGCTCACATATGTGTGTATGCACACACACATGTATTCTAATGTTGATAGACATTTGAATTGTTTCCATCTAGAGCCATTCTGACCAGTGTAACTGTGAAAATTATTTAAATTGTATAATTTTCATTTGTACACAGACACATGCATTCCCCCAGAGTACAGCCCTGTGAGCCCAATTTCTGCATCGTAGGGTACACACATCAAGATCGTCAAAACTCAGAACTCTTAACTCCTTTTGTTCCCTCTCAACTTAAATGTCATCACTCTCTTGTGTTTTTAATCTATCTTGGTTTTTTTTTTCAGACCCTGTGCGACATTTTTATTACTGTTTTACATAATGTTTGTTCACACCTGGATACGTACTTTCCACTTTCCTCGTCATTCCTTCTTCCAACTTAGACCTTCCATCTTAAATTGCTTTCCTTCTGCCTGAAGTACACCCTTTAGAGTTTCCTCTAGTCTCCTGGCGGCAAATTCTCAGTCTTTTTGTCTGAAAATATTTTTATTTTGCCCTCATTCTTGAGCAATGTTTTTTCTGGGTATATATCAGGCAGGCAGTCTTTCAATACATTAAAGAAATCATTCACTGTCTTTGACTTTCATTTTTGCTATTATCAGTCAGTCTAGTTGCTATTCCCCTGAAGACAACATCTTTTCTCTGACTGGTTTTAAGATGATCTCTTTAACTTGGGTTTTTCTGAATTTTTATTATGATGTTTCTGGGTGTTGATTTCTTTTTCTTTATCATGAAATTCTATCTATTCTTGAGTGTGCATATTGATATCTTCCATCAGTCTGGAAAATTCTCAGCCATTTTTACTTCAAATGTTGCCTCGACCCCTGTATTAGTCAGGGTGTCTCTCTGAGCCAAGTCAAGTTTGCTATAAAATTAACCATCACAACCCATTCTGTCTCTTTTCTCTTGGGCCTTTAATCAATTGTATCTTGGACCGTCTTGCTGAAAACTTCACATCTCTTGCCTTCTCTTTCGTATTTCTTTTCAATCTCTTTGTCTCTCTGTGCTGCATTATGTGTAATTTGTGCTAATATCACTTCCAGTTCATAATTCCATTTCTGGCTGTGTTCAATCTGCCGTCAAATAAATCTACTGAGTTTGTATTTCCAGTTTTGTATTTTTTGTGTTTCTACATTCTATCTGATTCTTTTTCAAGCCATGTGTCATTTTTTATAGGTTCCTGTTTCCTGCAGATAATTCCCACTTTACTGATTATTTCTTCAAACATGGCATAGTGGTCTAATCTGTAACTGGGGATTCCAGTGTCCAGACTGTTTCTGCAGTGTGTTGTTTCTTCTGTATTTCTGCTGTGTGTTGGTTCTCGCTCAGGTTGTCTTGTCTCCTTGTGTACCTGGTTATCTTCAACTGCTCATAAGTCATTGCCCTTGAAAAAAATTATCTGCGAGTGTTCTCCCAAGGCACGAGACAAACTTGCCCTCCTCCAGAGAAGTTTTCTTTTGCTCTGGTGTATGCTATGATAGGCAGAATTCTAAGAAGGCTCCAAATAACCCACACCTTCGTATAATCCCCTCCCCTTGGGTTTAGGTGAGACACGTGAATATGAGATGTCACTCCCATAATTCTATCACGTCACAGGGCAAACAGGATTATGCAGATGTACTTAAGATCTCTAATCCGTTGACTTTGAGTTAATCAAAAGGGAGATTGTGCTAGATGGGCCTGGCCTAACCGAGTGAAATCCTTAAAAGAGATGGATTCTCCTGGTGGCTGCAAAGAAGCAAGAAGAAAATGGACATGTTGCTTAAAAAGAGAGGTGACTTCTAGGAGCTGATGGCCTCAGTCTACAAATGCAAGGAACAGAATTCTGCACAGAAGCTCAGATTTAGATCTGGTTCATCCTCATATGATTTATATGCATGATGTTGCAAAGTGCTATTGAGCTTAGAAACCCCAGAATTACAGCTAAATTTGGAGGCTCCAGAAAAAGAAGGGAAGAGGAAGCTAAATGTGGTGACTGATGGTCTGTAGAAACTAGGTTTTGAGGTAATATTTACAGATTTTTAAAGTTGCTGACATTTTGGCAATGTGTATTATTGCTTTTCAAACCCATTAGTCAGAATTTACAAAGAATAAGAGCCCTAATGCTAGATAAGGCTCTGAACTTCATCCTGCAGTTTGTTTTGCAATAAAATCTTTAAGAGCTGTGAAACATTTGTTTTTCAACAGGAAGTGGTCAAATGTTAGGGATGAAATGTAAAGGCAGTTGCTACTGCTGTGGAATAGATTTATTCCTCTGTGTATGAGACCAGGGAAAGAATTTCATAATTCAGCATTTCACTGGTGAGCATCTTTCAAAAACTGCTGCACAATGGACTCGAAACAAAGGGAAAACCCAGCCAAGAGGAGTGAGTTAATGGACACTTTTGTTCATACACAATTGTTTATTGATTTCATCGACTTTGAGCTGCATTTTGAATAGTGCAGGAATGTTAAAAGATTACAGGACATGAAAGTGATGTTTTCGCAAAAAGAAAAAACACTATTTCTTTTCAAATTAATTCTCATGTCTTCATCAACAGAGCTGTCATAGCAAGTACTATCTTATTTTTCTCCTCATATGAGCTAATGTGAACATTATTTGTGTCCATTTGTGAAATCGTTTACATTTTTATATTAGTGTGCCAAAGTTACAGTAACAGTAATCTTTTGCAATTGAATGTGCACAAATAAAAGCCTTATGAAAAAAGCCTATATTTTGCCAATTCTAGAACTATTCTTCCCCATTTTCTATTTTAACAATAAGCATCCATTTTCGCAAACTTCATTTTAGGCTGAAGAGTGTTGGCTACTCTTTGAAGTGTCTTTTGCAATGTGTTCTACATGAGAAGAGTCTCATCTTTAATGCTCTATTACAAAATCTAAAATGGCAATATTTTTCTTAAGGATTAGAAATAAAAACATACATATTAACATACATATAGGCAACCCGAGAGTAACTTTGTAAATAAGGCAAAACATCTCACGTTGCTAATTTAATATGATGGAGTATATAGTTGTACAATTTTGCATCCAATATCCTTCCTTCAATTTAATGTATTCTGATAACCAACAGGTAACCTCTATCTAATTTAATATTTTGATGGAGGCAGTTAAATATGTTCTTAAATCCAGTTTTCAAAAGAGAAACATCCCACCAACAACTTGGACATGAGAATGTGCTAGTGAGCAGTGGTGCTTCATTTGTTACTTTCATACTTTGTTACTCTGCAAAGATTCTGTTACAAGAAATGGACTGAGACTAGAGACTTTCAACCTAGGATGATACTCTGCATCACTGAGTCTTGGCCAAAATCGACAACGTTTCACTGTTGTAACAAGAACTTCCCACAACTTCCTCTATATATACATTTTTCCAGCCTTATTGAGATATAATTGACATATAACATTGTGTGAGGTGTACAATGTGATGATTTCATACATATGAAATCCTATGAGTATATGTGATACAGGTGTTCGTGTATATGTGATAATTTGATACATATATATTATGAAATTATTACAACAATAAGGTTAGTTAACACCTCCATCACCTCTCATAATTGTGTTTCTGTGTGTTCAGTGAGAACATGTGGATCTTAGTTGTATATACTTATATACAACTTCCAAGTATATAATACAGTCTTGTGTCGCCTAATGACGGGGACATGTTCCAAGAAATGTGTCGTTAGGCCATTTTGTCATTGTGCAAACATCATAGAGTGTACTTACACAAACCTAGATGGTATAGCCTACTTATAACTGGAAGCCACAGACTTCTTTGTCACAGTAGAATCATAGTACAGTTTAACTTGAACTTCAATTTTTAAAAAATCAGTCTCTATATTTGCTTCACAAACATAGAGAATTCTGATGGACTATTGCAACAAGAATAGCCAAATACCTATCAACAAACTAATATAGGCAGGACTTATGAGGAAAAAATTATATTTTATGGTAAGACAAAAAAGGACACTCGAATCAATGGGATTCATTTAAAGGACCTGGGGTACCTCTTGCTTCCCAGAATGGCTGAGAAGGCTGGATAACCATCTTGGGAAATAGGAAGGAAAGGAGATGAGGTAGACAGGTCCACAGGCAAAAATGACAGCTCAGGGGCAGCTTGGTGAGGACATCCCTGTTGCACCTGGAAACCCAAGTGAGCCCCACGGCCACCCCAGAAACTAGAGGGAATCAAAAACGTGTGAAAACATAAAATAGCAGTTCTCAACCTTTTGGTCTCAGAACCCCTTTATACTCTTAAAAAATATTGGTGACCCCAAAGAGCTTTCGTTATATAGGTTATATCTATCCATATTAACTCTATGAGAAATTAAAATTGAGACACTTTAAAAATACTTATTTATCAAGTCATACAAGAATATCAACAATAAAGCCATTACATGTGATCATAAGTAGCATATTTTAAACAAACAACTATATTTTCCAAAACAAAATGCATTTAGTGAGAAGAGCAACATTGTTTTATATATTTTTGGCAATCTCTTTAATATCTAACTGAATAGAAGGCAGCTGGATTCACGTATTTGCTTCTGCATTCAAACTGTTGCAATAAGTTGTTTTGTTGAAGTTTATGAAGAAAGCCCAGTTTCATACACATTGTTGTTGGAAAAAGCAGAAGTAATTAATAGTCTTTTTAGATAATTATGAATATTCTTCTTTGACACCATATCAACTCATAAAACACTTAATTGCATGTAGAATCTAAAACCACATCAATGAATGTTTATACTGTTACATTAAAATCCATTGGCCCATCTCTCTCTCTCTGAATAGATCCTTACCAGTGTACAACTTTGTAACAGCACGTATTGGTCATTTGGGAGAAAAAGTTGGTTCATCAAATCATGCAGATACTCCAGATGTTGACACTTTTCACTATATAATATCAAAAAATCACATTTGCCAATATCACCGTCAATCTCATCAGCAATACTATAAGAGTTTTGACCTTGAATATTCCCTGAAAGGGTCTTGAGGATATCCAGGGGTCCCAATGCCACATATTGAGAGTAACTTGAACAGAAAAATAGAAGAGAACAGAATGAAGAGCTCAGGAACAAACACAGACAGATGTGGGAATCCTAGTCCATCCTCGTGTGGTAGGCAGCCTCCAACATGGCTCCCAAGGATCTCCACCTCTTGGCATTCCATGGTTGTGTGATCCCTTTCCCTTGAGTGTGGGCTGGACCCAGGGACTTGCTGATCATGAACAGAATAGAAACAAAAGTGATGGGATGTCACTAGCAAGATTAGGTTACAAAATATCATGGCTTCCATATTGGAAACTCTCTTGCTCGCTCTGAGGAAAGCAAGATGTCATGTTGTGAGCTGCTCCATGGAGAGGCCACGTGGCCAAGAACTGATTGTGGTCTCCAGCCAATGGCCAGAGAAGGACTGAGACTCTCAGCCAACAGCCCACAAGGAACTGAATCCTACTAGTAATCATGTAAGTGATCTTGGAGCCCATCCTTCATCAGCCCTATTTTGACTTCAGCCTGTGAGAGACCATGAGCCCACCCATCTAAGCTATGCCTGGATTCCTGACCCACAGAAACCATAAGATAAACTCTTATTGTCTTAAACCACTAAGTTTTGGAGTAATTTATTATGCAGCAATAGATAACTAATATGTCTTGGTTTTGTACTTGGGGAAAAAAGAGTCTTTATTTACATCATACATAAAAAGTAAATTTCAGATAGATTAAAGGGATGAATCAAATTATAAAGCTTGGAAACAAAGGAGAAAATATAGGAGACTATTTTTGTAATGTCCATGTGGGAATTGCTACTTAAGAAAGATATAACACTTAGAAAGAAAACAATAAGTTGATATGATTATATAAATTGTTAAACTTCAATATGATAAAAACTATTCTAAAGAAAAATGTTTAAGTTGACAGCCTGGGAAAAATTTGTAAAAAGGATCAATACCTGTAATATATAAAAAAATTCATGCAAATCAGTAAGGAAAATCAAATAATCCGATAGAAAATTTTATGTACAGAAGAATATGTACAAATGGCCATGCATACAAAAAGATCGTCAGCCTCTCTAGGAACCATGGAAATGTAAATTAAAACAAAAATGAGATGATTTTTGACCATCAGATGGGCGTAAACGTAAAACTGATGTATCCACTTTGGGCCAGAAAGAAAAAAAAGTGATACTCTTATGCACAATTGGAATACATTGATAAAGCTTATTTATGCTGAGTTTGCATAGTTAGCCAGAATTAAAATGTGCAGGCCCTTCAGTTTAGCGACTCCACTTTAATGGAACCTATTCTGATCACATACATGAATAGAGTACATTTTGCCTCATGGCTAGACGCAAGATCAGAACACAAAGATCAACAGCCTATGTGAAGAGCAGCAATAATCAATTAGAAAACGTCATGGAAAACTAGATCCCATTCACAAGAGCCACAGAAACTCTAAGTTAATGGGAGAAAACAAGTAGTATATAAACGTACACAAAGAAAAGTATTTTAAAAAGTTTTCTGAAAGACATAAAATAAGATGTCCAAGAAGGGTGCAGGGACGCTTATTGCAGAATTGTTTGTCTTGGAAAAAAAAATGTTGCAAACAACCTCAAAGCCCCCGAGCGTGGGGAAGGCCACCTTCATTTCTTTATCTATAGCATGGGACACCCCGCAGCAGTCAAAAAGAATGACCTGTTTCTGTGTGGGATCCCTATTTATTCAACAGAAATAACTCCAGGACATGTTAAACAAAAAATGCACATTGCAGAAGGATGTTTCTCGATAGTAAATGGTATTAATAATGCTCAATAAAACTGACTATTATGGCTTTTGATACTGTCAGAACACCCTGGAAGGTTGTAACCAGGCACATGGCTGATGCCCTGCCTGTCAAAGTCTTGTTTTCAGAGCTTGGAGCCACCATGGGACAGAAGGTCCCCAGAGGTGACCTTGGACAAAGTCCCAAGAACGTAAGAACCAGCCAAGAGGAGATGCTATGGCTCAAAGCCAACTCCAATCAAAGTCAGCCACGTTGGCCCACCCCTAGAGCTTTCCATGCCCGCAGCTCATAAGTGGGGATTCAACCTACAGCAAAGAATCCCGGCTTGACTCTTTATCACCTCCACCCTGGAGGAACCGGCACTCCACCAGCCCGGCTCAGCACCTTCAGGGAGCGGTTGAGACACTCCGCCAGGTAGGTCAGGCTGCTCCAAATTTCCAAGTGGCTTCCATCTCCTACCTGGATGACTGGAGGCAACAGAACAGTGATTAAAACCCATGGTTGTAGGGATAGTCAGCTAGGTTCGAGCCCCAGCACTGCCCTTATGAGCTATGAGACCTTGGGCAAATCGCTGAACCTCTCCGTGCCTCGGTTTTTCTCTCTGTGAAATGGGGTGGGTAACACAGTGCCTGCCTTCTGGTGGACGGGAGGATTAAGCGGTCATGTGAAAAGTGCTCAGGTCAGCGTCAGGCTCTTGGGAAATGATGTTTAAACGCTGATCATTGTTCTGCTGACGCTACAAAGAACTCAGACGAAGTCAGAGATGTAATCTCGGTGCTACTGACATTGGGGGCCAGATCCTTCTTTGCTGTGGGGGCCATCCTGTGCACTGGTGGATGTTCAGCAGCATCCCTGGTCCCTACCCACTAGATGCCAGTAGCATCTTCCCCAGCCATGACAACCAAAAATGTCTCCAGACACTGCCACATGTCCCCTGCGGGGACACAGTCATCCTTGGTTGAGAACCACTGCTCTAAGTGAGCTCCCCGTGAGCTGGGGCATGTAAGACAAGGCTACGAGACTGAAGGGTGGGAATAATATGGAAGACACTCAGGGTTTCATGAAGAGGCAGTTCCTAAAATCTTATCCTACTCCAGAAGCATTGCTTCTGTGTCACTCATCGGTCAGGCTCATTTCTCCCATTGGCTGATGGCTCGAATCCAGGGTCTCTGCTCCTCTCCACTGTTTCAGACTATGATGTTTGTGGTATTCTGCTTTACATCCATGAAGACATAATACCACGCAGTGCTGAGAAACATACTCATCCATTTGGAGAAAATAATAAAGACACATGGTGTTTTATGTATCAGGAACTGTTCTAAGAGCTACACACTTACTAAGTTCATTTAATCCTCATGACAATCCCATGGGGGTGGGGACGTCATTATTATTCCTATGTGTTACAGATAGAGAACCCAAAGCACAGAGAGGTTAAGTAACTTGCCTAAGGTCACACAGCTAGTAAGTGGCAGGGCTGGGATTTGAACCCAGGCAGCCTCTCTCCAGAGTCTGTACTGTAATCCATGACACAACCCATCTCTTGGCTGTAGGTATCATCTCTGGTACTTACTTCTTTCATGGCAAGATCTTGTCATCAAATGGAAGCTGAGCCGATAATCTGATAACAATTTAATAGATAAACATGGAACTGGCTCCAGCTGGAGGAAAGGGATCACATCCCCACTAGACAAGCTCCCATGCCTTGGTGATCCCTGAGGGCTCCATGGAACAGTTTGGAAATGCTTTGCAAGCCCCTCAGTTTACAGCCAAGAAAGCTGAAACAAGAATGATAATAATACCAACCACAGGGCTGATGGTTACATTCATACGTCGCATACCAGGCACCATGCTGCACACCTCAGGGCATGATCTCACGTCCTTTCCAAATGACAGCATGCATGAAAGCCATGTTTGTTTTGTGTGTGTGAATTTTGAAAAATACATGAGTGAGATGAGAAAAGTAAGTCTCGAGAAGGCAAGATGAGTTAGCCAAGGTGTAAGGAATTTGATTCAAGGGAGCAGTCCAAAATTTGCAAAATGCATTCTGTGGGAATTATAATTCTCTATGATGTAACAGATGTTGCCACATTTCTTTTAATCATCTCTTGTTGGAACCTCAATGCACATTTTAGCCTCTCTCTGAGCAGAATGTCTGAAAAGCTGCAAGTCTGATGTTTTCTCTCCAGATGCACACTAAAATAAACCACAGCTAGACGATAAGTAACATCCATCCATCCACCCCTTAAAACCATCTCGCACAGGTACCTGCGTCCTGCTGAGGGAACTGCAGTTACAAAGCTTCCCCCTGCCCAGGGTCTTTTGGGGTGGGAGAGGGGAGAAATGGCATTAGTTAAGTGACTGTGTTGCTTTTTCCCCTTTACTTTGGTGTGCAAAGGCACCTCATCTCCATGGCGGGAGAATCTGGTAATAAAAGAAAGAGGGCAGAGGACAGAGGGAGGTAGTGGAATTAACAAATCACCACAAATGTAGTCTCTCAAAATGACACACTTCTTATCTCACACTTTAGAAATCCCAAGTCCGAAATGGATCTCACTGGGCTAAAGTCAAGGTGTCAGCAGTGCTGCTTCCTTCTGGACGCTCCAGGGGAGAAGCCATTTCTTTGTCTCTTCTGGCTTCTCACGGCCCCACATCTGTCTGATCCCTTCTTCTGTCATCATATCTCCTTCTCTGACTCTCTTGCCTCCCTTCCCATCTTCTAAGGACCCTAACGACTCCACTGGCTTCACTCATTAGATGTTTTCTAGGGCTGCCATGGCAAAGCACCACAGACTGAGTGGCTCAGAATAACGGAAAGGCATTCTCTCCCAGCTCTGGAGGCCGGAAGTCTGAGATCAAGGTGTCGGCGGGCCATGCTCCCACTGAGACCTGTAGGGAATCCTTCCTAGGGACTTGCCTAGGGAATTGTAGGGAATTGCCTCTTCTAGCTTCTGGCGGTCTACCAGCAATCTCGGGCATTTCTTGGCTTGCAGCTGCATGACTCCACTCTCTGCCTTCGTCATCACACGGCCTTGTCTCCTGTGTCTCTGTATTAGTGCAGCCGTCTTCTTTTAAGGATACCAGCCATATTCGATTAGGGGCCTATGACCTCATCTTCACTAATTACAGCTGCAGTGACCCGATTCTAGATGAGGTCACACTCTGAGGTCCTGGGGCTTAGGACCTCAACATACCTTTTTTGGGGGAGTGGGGCTGCAATTCAACTCACGACACCTGGATACTCCAGGATAATCTTCACATCTCAAAATTCTTAACTTAATCACATTTGCAAGGTCCCTTTTGCCATGTGAGTTCACATTTTCACAGGTTTCAGGGGTGGGGGACATAGGCATCCTGGAGGGGGCACTATTCTGCCTACCAAAGGTAGGTTATTTATGGTCCACAAGAGGCCAGCAAGACTCAGCTGGGAGTGCCAGGCCAGTGCCCAGCTGCCAGGGGCTGTCGTTCCACAGCAATGGGAGTGAAAATGGCAGGGGGTGATGGAGTATGAGAAGAGAAAAGGGTGGTAATACTTTCCTTTAAGAAGCTTAAAAACATGTTTTCATGCCTATTTTAGTACACAATCCCAGCAGCCCAGGGACCACAGTGGAAAGGAAGACAAGAAACCCACAAAGTGTGAGGAACCTGACAATAGTAAAGGTCTACCTTTAACGAGGGCTTGCCCTGTGCCAGGTCCTGTTTAAGGACGCTCCTTTCATTATGGCCTGTGACCATCTCAGCACTATGCGATCCCATTCTCCAGAGGAGGAAACTGAGGCTCAGAAAGATTAAAGTATTTGTCCAATGTCACACAGAATCCAAACGCTGGCTGTTTGGTTGCAAAAACATTCTTAAACACTACTTCTGTACTGTGTACCACTTCCTACGTTAGATGCCAGGAAATAAAGCAATGAGTATGAAATGGTCCCTGTGCTCAGGTGGAGGGGGGCTCACAGTCTAGGAGGGAAACAGATTATTAGAAGGCCTTGGGTTGTGTACTATAATTAAGATGCTACGGTATGTAGCAATATACATGGTAAGACCAGAAGTCTTAACTGGTGGCCCCATGTGATATGCACAGTGTTTTACATTTGAATTAACTGCCAGTATATAAAAGTCAGGAGGTTTCACATCAAAAACAACCTGGAATCTGGCTTCTCTTGAGAATATCAGAGAATCTGGCAATGGTTCGTCCACCAACAACAGTGGGCAAGAGTTTAAAGCAGCTGCCTCATTTGAACAGAACATCCATTTTCCCCACAGTCCCCACCATTCTCTATTATTCACTCAGCTGGATTCACTAACTTATGTATCTGTTGGGCCTCTGTAGGTGTTTAACTTTGAGATCTCTAGGAAAGACAAACAATGCACGTGTGTTCAATGAAGAAATATTTGAGCATCCTTTCCAGACTCAGCTCACCCAACTTCTTTATTGCTTCCTCCTAGGTCTTTGTTATTGTCACACTGTTCTCCACATGCACTGCTCCTTGAGCATCCCCAGCAGTTAAGGAACTTTGCCAAAGACAGAACATGAGCAATCTCACGGTTGTGTCAGTCTTCCTCCTCCGGGGCTTCTCAGCTGTCCCTGAGTTACAGCTGCTCAGCGCTGCCACCTTCCTTCTCATTTACCTGGCTGCGATTCTGGGGAACCTCTCCATCATGGCTGCCGTGACACTCGACCCCCGCCTGCACACACCCATGTACTTCCTCCTCAAACACCTCTCCCTGGTGGATATCTGCTCCACGTCCACCACCCTGCCCCAGGTCCTGGTGGCCACCATGGTAGGCTCTGGGGAGATTTCCCTCCCGGCATGCGCCTCACAACTCTTTGCCTTTGTCTGCCTTGGGTCCACAGAGTGTTTTCTCATCACCTCCATGGCTTATGATCGTTGTCTGGCCATCTACAGGCCCCTAATGTATGGGGCAGCCATGAGCCCCCGGACCTGCGCCTCCCTGGTGGTGGTGGCCTGGGGCAGCGGGATCCTCTTTTCCGCCTTCCACACAGCCAACACCTTCTCCCTGCCCTTCTGTGGCCCCAATGTGATAGACCACTTCTTCTGTGACATCCCCCCACTCATGCGCCTAGCCTGTGCCAATGCAGATGCCCATGAGGCTGTCGGATTTGCAGCCAGCGGCTGCATCATCATGAGCTGCTTTGCCCTCACCGTCCTGTCCTACATCCGCATCTTGGCCACAGTGGTTCGGATCCGCTCCTCAGCCAGCCGCTGGAAGGCCTTCTCCACATGCTCTTCCCACCTGGCCACTGTGCTCCTGTTTTATGGCACCGGCAGCTCTGCCTACATGCAGCCCACCGCCCACTACTCCCCACTGCAAGGGCGCGTGGCTGCTGTCTTCTACTCCATCCTCACACCCACCCTGAATCTGCTTATCTACAGCCTGAGGAACAAGGACATGAAGGGTGCCCTGAGGAAGCTCTATCTTCAGGTGCCATCGTAGGACCTGGCATCTGGACATGAGAAGGATTCAGAAATCCACCTTCACAGGATTTTCCTTGTGGTCACAGTGGAGGTGTTAATGCCTCCAGAGACCACCAGGAGCACACGTGTAGCCTAACACTTGGCAACAAAATTGGATGACAATGAGTCATGCAAGAGGTCCCAATAGATGTCCAGACAAAATGGACACATGTCAAATGTGCATTTAATTTAAGCAAATGGACCTAAATGTAGGCAGGAGAAGACAGAGAGGGAGTGGATAATTTAAATAGTAGACAGTCATTTCATCCAAGATCCCCCTCAATGACCCTGTGTCCTGGAGTTGAGTCCAACAGATAACTCTCTTCTCAGCTCATCTCAGTTTCCTTGGATCTCCCACAAGTTGGTGCATCTTGTCCTACTCAACACAGTTCTAATATTGAATGGTACACATTTTTTGTTTCTATATGTCCTAAACGCAGGCCAATGACTTCATCAGAAGAAGCAGCAACTATTCCAGAAGAAAAATAGGCCATATTGGACTGGCAGAGATATGGTTTGTAGTCTCTTTTTTTTTTAAGATTGGCACCTGGGCTAACATCTGTTGCCAATCTTCTTTTTTTTCTTCTCCCCAAAGCTCCCCAGTACATAGTTGTATATTCTAGATGTAGGTCCTTCTGGCTCTGCTATGTAGAACACCGCCTCAGCATGGCCTGATGAGCGGTGCCATGTCTATGCCCAGGATCCAAACTGGCAACACCCTGGGCAGGTGAAGCGGAGTGCACGAACTTAACCACTTGGCCCCGGGGCTGGCCCCTGGTTTGTAGTCTGCATGTGGCTCCTTCCTAAGGGGATGTCAAGGGTAATTTTGTCTTTCTGCAATGTTTACCTGATATTATTGTATTGGTTGGGTTTTGGGTTCCGCTGTTTTAAAGAGACAATAGTGGATTACATAATACAAAAGGTTTATTTCTCTTTCATGTAAACATCTGTGGTTGAAGGTGATCCTGGGTGGCTCTAAGCCACAAAGTCATCCTGAGACCAGGTCCCTCCTCTCTCATTGCTCTACCATCCCCTGAGGTCTCCTTATCCACACAGTAGGAGACGGCTCACTAGCACGTCATTCACAACCCACCTGCAGGATGGGAGATAGAAGTAGAGGGCAAGCAACATGCTTTTAAGATGTGACCCGGAAGTTGTAAACATCACTTCTGCTGATATCCCATTGGCTGGCACTTGGTCACATGACCACACTGACCTGCAAAGGAGGCTGGGAAATGTTGTCTCCAGCTGGGTTGCCACATGCCCAGATGAAACTCCAAATAGAAGGCGAGAACATTATTTACTAATTGTTGTTGTTGTTGTTAGGAAGATTAGCCCCGAGCTAACATCCGTGCCCATCTTCCTCTACTTTATATGTGGGACGCCTACCACAGCATGGCTTGCCAAGCAGTGCCATGTCCACACCCAGGATCTGAACTGGTGAACCCAGGGCCACTGAAGTGGAATGTGCACACTTAAACGCTGTGCCACTGGGCCAGCCCCTACTAATTTTTAATCATTCCTCCCCATCTCATCTCTTGATGAGCCACCATCTATCTTTTTATTCCATCCTATCATCGTGCATTCAAGTCTTCCTTTATCCCTAGGCCACCTGTACTAGTCACTTTTATATACATTATCTCTATAATTCTCTATAATATTTTCTTCATTTTGCAGTTAAGGAAAATAAAATTCAGATAGGTTTGGCAACTTACCCAAAGTTAAGAGGATCAAGAGAGGCCCAATATTTTCACTCCAGAAACACTCAGGGTTCTTCTTTTTTGTTTGTTTGTTTGTTTTGAGGAAGATTAGCCCTGTGCTAACTGCATTCAGTCCTCCTCTTTTTGCTGAGGGAGACTGGCCCTGAGCTAACATCCATGCCCATCTTCCTCTGCTTTATATGTGGGACGCCTACCAAAGCATGGCTTGCCAAGTGGTGCCATGTCTGCACCCAGGATCCGAACAGCAGAACCCCGGGCCCCAAAGCAGAACGTGCGCACTTAACCGCTGCACCACTGGGACAGCCCCAGGATTCTACTTTTAATGACAGAGATTGAATTGCATTTCTCTAGGAATTTAAAAATTTTACCATGTTGAGATATCTCCTTGGGAAGTTTTAGGAGAGGATTGCAGTGCTACCAACATATCCTTGAGGGTTGAACAGTCCTCCTCTACTTCAGAATACCAACCTCTTGATCAAATGCACAACTTGGGAGAGACATAAACTGGCCAAAAAGAGAGTAAAGGGGCATGTGACCAGCCAGCTAGATCAGACAAGTCTTTGCTGATTACTGGGGTATGCCAGAGCCATCTTAAGTAAGGTAATCATCAATGAGTCACATCCTGGTATAATCCCCTTTCATCAATGGTATATGGCAAAGCTGATGGGATGTCACTCCCATAATTACTTGATATCTACTCTCTGAGACAGAAAATATCCAGGTACTTGGTGTATCCCCCAGATCTCTGAGCGGCTGGCTCTCTAGCATCCTTTAGGTCTCAGCTTCAACGTCACCTCCTCAGATGTACCCTCCTTGGCCCTCCCTTCTAAAGAAGATCCCTTCCAGGTCACTCTCAATCCCTTCATCCTGTTTTATTATCTCCAATGCATTTATCATCCTTTTGAATTACCTAAATTATTCAGTTTTTTTATTCTGCCCTGAATCCCCCTCCCTACTCCTTCAAATCTAGTCTCCATGAGGGCAGGGCTCTGTTTTCTTCAGTGCTGTATCCCCTGTGTGTAGCATATTGTCTGGCACACACTAGGTGTTCAGTATTTATTTTTATGAACAAACAAATGTGAAGCAGAACAACAACAAAAAAAATCCAAATCTTCTCTGGTGTAAGCTAGAGTCAGGGGGCTGAGATCTCTGAGCCTTGGTGGTTTATCTCCCTCTACAGCCATTTCGGCAACACCTGTATGGGATCTTCTGGTTTCACAAACTCAGTCCAGACACCTCTTCCTAAATCAGATTAATAAATGCTATTGAATATAAACCACCATTGATTGGAAGATACTCCATTAATTTACATCCCATTAAGAAAGAAAAAGACACTGCCAATCAAACCATGACACGTCATCCATAAAACATATCCTAATTTCCCCTGTTCAAATGTACTGCTCAGCCTTCAGGACAAGGCTCCAACATCAATTCCTGGCCACCCCTCCTGGCCAGCGTGGGTCGTTTTTTCCTTTCTATACTCTCTCTCAGCACTCTCATTTCTCCAAAACATGCATTGCAGTTTTAACCAATTGTTTATTTGTTTAAAATCTGTCCCTCACACTAGAATGAATGCTGAATGAAGGGAGAGATTACATCTGCATGTTTACCGTTATCCAAGCTTTCAGTGTGCTGGTAAGCCAGCTCTCTGGAAAAAAAAAACAACTGTAATATTTGCCAATTTCCACGGTGTAAATAATCTCACCACAGCTGATGCCAATAGCTTAACAACTGGTTTGCGACATTCTTGGATATTTAACAGTTAGGTCTTGTGAGCTGGTACTAGCATGCTCTAGCATACAGTTGACCCAGGATAACAGAAACTCAATAAATCATTGGTTAGTGAATGAGTGAATTGTTGCTGAATCACGGTGAACGAATATGTAGCAAGTATTTCAAACTTAACCCGTCTACATACAGCTCTTTCTCTCTCCTCCATACTTGTTTTCACCCCACTTCCTAGCATTGCCATCCATCCATCACTCAAGGCAGAAAATTAGCAGGCTTATTGGTTTATCTCTCTCACTCACCTCCCCATTTCCCTCACATCCAGTAGGTCCATGAGTTTTGTCAGTTCCGCTCTCAACGTTTCTTTCAAGTTCATCCACTTCACACCATCCCCATGGCCACCATCATCTCTGGCCAGGCCCACTGCAACAACCTCCTCCTTTGTCTCCCTGCCTTCAGCTATTACCCTCCCGAACCCACCCTCCACCCAGAAGCCAAGTGTTCCTGTTAAAAATCATCACCCTGTTGCAGCTTTCCAGTGCCTTTTCATTGCCTTGGGCTCTCCATGGTGGGAACCCCGCTGAGGTCTCCAGCCTCCTTTCCTGCACCCTCCCTGCATCTTTTATCCGGAGCTATGCTGGCGTTACCTCAGTTCTTCAAACACATCAATCTTCTCCCTGCCTCAGGGCCTTTGCGCTTGCTTCATCCTCAGCCTAGAATACCCTTCGCCAAATCTGGGCACAACTGCCCCGTCATAGTTGAGCCTCACTTCAAACGTCATCTCTTTGGAGAGACCTTTCCTAACCTCCCACCAAGTATCATCACCTCCTCCCTCCCTCCCATCGGCCTGATTTATTGCCTTCGGATCCCTTACCATTTTTGGAAATGTCTATATTACTTCGTAGAGTAGGAGATAAGGACTTGGGTACCTGTTGTTTATTTCGGGGAGGGCAGGATCCGGGAGCCAGAAGGAAGTGCGCCTGCGCGCCCGTCTCCGGACAACAATTCCCAGAGTGCCCGGCGCGCGTGAGCCTCAAGCGCGCTTCCGCTTCCGTCCTGGAGATCCGTGCGGAGTGATGTGTGGGTGAGTGTGTGTCTCCGCGTGCGCGGGTAGTGTGTGCGGTGAGCGGGCGTGTATAGGCGAATGCTTGTGTGTGCTCGAGCGAGAGTGTCTGTGTGCAAGAGACTGGTGTGTGTACGAGTCTGTGAGCCAGGGAGAATGTTCGAGCAAGTGCGTGCAGGTGAGTGTGTGGGAGGGAATGTGATGTCTTTGAGGTGTGTGTATGGGTGAGCGAATCTGCGTGTATATGTGTGCGTGTATGTGTGAATGGGAGCAGGTGCGAGTTTGTGTAGGTGTGTGAGCCCCCCCCCACCCCACCCCGGGTGGCTCTTGCGTGTCTGTAGATCGTGAGCCTGACTGTGGCTTCTGTGATGGTATCTCGTGAGTATGGTTTTTTGCTGTTGCTGTGATTCGTGTGTCACTGTGATTTTTGTGGGGATGTGAGTGATTTAGTTCATGAGATTATGTGCGTTGTGTTGGGGGGGGGTGTGTGTGATTGTGCATCCTGCTTGGAATGTAACCTTGTGAAGCCGAGACTGTGTGGAAGTTTGTGTGAAGAGGGCATGTAGTTTGTGATCTTGTGTGTCCACGTGTGGTTGAGTGTTGTTCTGGTGTGTCTGTGATTGAGTGGAAGTTTTTGTGGTGTGTACTGTGTGTGTAATTTGGTTTGAGTGTGATTGTGATCTGTGCGTCTGATTTGGTGCTGCTGTTGTTATCTGTCAGCATGTGATGTTTGTGTGAGGCTAACTAGTAGGTAAGGAAGTGTGTATGGGAGTTTGTGCGTGTTTGTGGGGTTGAACCAGTGTGAAGTATCTAAATCCTGTTGGCAAGTCTGTGTGTCCCTCTGCACTTGTGCCTGCAGTGTCATTGTCCCAATTGTCTTAAATTTTAAGGTTGCCTGTGAGGTTTTATTTGTGAATGAAGTGTGTCTGTGTGCATGCACATGCGCTCATACCTGCAAGTGTGGAGTGTTGCTGAGGGAGTGGTTTGGTGTGAGGGTTTAGATGGGATTTTGTGTGTCTGAAGTTGTCTCTCAAAGAGTGTTTGTGTGTGTAATTTTGTCTTTGAATGACCAGTCCTTGCATGCCACATGACACTGGGTGTCGAGTACTGAGCGTGTGAGTGTGTATTGGTGCTTGTGTCTGTGTGGGTTATGGGGACACGTGACTGTCATTTGGTGATGGAGGTTTTTGTCAATGCTGGTGTTTGGTGATCGGTGACTTGGGTGGTCCCTGAGGCCGTCTGTGTGAGGGCGCGTGTCTGATAGGCCCATGGCCAGTTAGACGGGAGGCTGCAGGCGAGGTGGGTAAGAGCAGGAGCTCTGGGCTCGCTAGAGAGGAGCACTTAGGCTCTTTTCTTCACTGCAGTTGTGCCTGGTGGCCAGGAGGCTCGCGGGAAATCCTTACAGACGAATGGGTTCTAATTCCCTTCTCTTCCTAGTTGTGTGAACTTGGACAGGTCGCTTAATCCCTCTGCACCTCACTTTCAAGCACTAATGAGTAATAAGCTCTCCCTTGGAAGTTGTCTTGAGGACTAAATGAGTCAGTATATGTAGAGGTGTTCCTCTCTGTGTCCTGTGGTCTACATATGTCTCATTTTTGGTGCCTCAGGGTCATTTGTGAGTGACGATGTCAGCTTTTGTCTTTGGGCCTGTCCTCTTTGCTCACGTACGGGTTGCGTCTTGTGTGTCTGTACTTATGGGCAGGCGTGTGGTTGCTCGCACAAGCTCTGGAGTCTGCAGTCGAGGTTCACGTCCCAGCTCCAGCCCTTGCCAGCTTGGTGACCCTAGGTGAGGTACAGAATGTCTCCATGGCTCAGTTTCCTCCTCTGTGTAATAGGGACAAAGATCCTTCTTACTTCCTGGGGTACTTAGAAGGTAAAATAAGCCATCCCTGGCCACTGCCCCCGAGCACGCCATGCCCCTTCAGGAGTCAGCAAGGCCAGGGCGGCCGTGGAGGGAAAGGCCTGCAGGCTGGAGGTCAGAGGCAAGAGCCAGCAGGAGCTCCGGGTGTGCTGAGGTGGGGAAGGTGGACAGAGGCAGTTGCCAAGTGGAAGAGGCCAAGCTCCTGGATCTCGAGGCCGGCTCTGGATGGGATGAGGACGCAGCTGCCAGGTTGGTGGAATGCCCAGGACCCAGGACGCGATGAGTCACTGCCTTTTGTCGTTTGTTCCTTGCTCTGTGCGTGAGGCCTCTGTGCTGGGAAGGCTCCTGTTTCTCTCTGCAAAACCACATTTGCTGAGCCCTGTGTGAGTGTTTTTTTTTTTGGGGGTGTCAGTGTGTGATTGCAATAGTGTGATCCGTATGTCAGTGTGATTTATGATGGGGTACGAGGGTGGGGAGAGTGATTTTGTGCATGAAATTGTGTGATTGTGGTTTTTTCTTTCCAAATGTGATGTGTCTATGGTTGAACATAAATTTGTGTGTGGCAAGGGTAGGGTGTAGTTCATTATTTTGTGGGTTCTTGTGGGATTTCTGTGTGTGTGGTTGAGTGGGAGTTGGTGTGTGACGGGGAATGTCGTGATGAGTGATTTGCTGTGTCTCTGTTCGCTGGAGTGATTTATGTCCATGATTTTGTGTGAGGGGGGTGACGGGGGGTAATCTGGTGTGGCTATGGTGATATGTGGTAGTATGTGATGCTGTATGTCTTGTGGGAGGGGCTAACTAGTACCAGCCTGAGGAAGTGAATGATGTCTGTGTGTGATTCTGGGGTGTACAAGTGTGACAAGTGTATCTAAACCAGGTGGTCACACTTTAGTGAGCCTGTGTGTGGCTGTGTGTTTCTCTCAAGGTATGTCTGTGGCTAAGGGTTTCATTGTTGCCTCTGTGAGATTTTGAGGGGGTGCCTATGAAGTTTCCCTTGTGGATGAAGTGTGTGTGTATTGGAACTTAATTCTAGTGGGGAAGATGGTCAAGATAAGATAATGTCAGTCACTGATAAGTGCTCTGAAGAAAATACTAGAAGGCAGCAGGACAGAGTGACTTAGGGGCTGCGGGCCATCAGAGTTTGGGTGGTTAGAGACGCCCTCTTGAGAAGGGGACATCTGGGCTCAGCCCTGAATGATGAGAATGACCTAGAGGGAAAGTTAGAGGAAGAGTGTTCCAGGAAGAGGGAAGAGTGAGGACAAAGGCCCCAAGGCAGGAATGACGTGGGGTGTTGGAGGAACAGTGGGCAGTGAGGTGGTGAGCAGACGAGGGCCATCGTTGCTTTTAGGTCTTGGTGAGGACTTTAGTGGCCAGTGGAGGGTCTGGGGCAGGGCAGCGACAGGGTCTGGGTTGCACTTTTAAGTGGTCACTCTGTTCTTGGGAACAGAGGTCAGATCTGAGCGGTGTGCAGCCAGCAGCCTTGACAGTTCTGTGCTCTGCTGCTGTGTGTTTTTCAGCATGTAATGCAACTCCTCTTTGTGCCTCAGTGGCCTCCTTAGTGAAGTAAAATGCTGTTTGTCCCTGTCTCTTCCTGGTTCAGCAGGTGAAATGGTCACTGTCCTAAATCCTTTCACTCTATTAACTGTAACAGCTAGCTACTGCTGCATAACAAAACACCCCAAGACAACAGCTCTTCGTTATTTCTCATCAGCCTGCAGGCCCGCTGGACTGGCCGGTGTGTCTGCAGGTTGGCTGGGCTGCTCTGCTCCTGGCTGGGCTTACCTGGGGAAGCTCTTCCCATGTGTCTCTTACCCTCCTCCTAGCACCAGATACCTTCTCATGGCCATCCCAGTGCACGAGAGGGAGAGTGGAAATTGTTCCACCTCTTGAAGATGACTCGAAACTGACAAACTTTCACTTCCACCTCATTCTCCCATCAGAGAATTCACCCTGGCGAGAAACCCTATCAGTGTAACGAGTGTGTAAAAGCCTTTAGTGATCAGTCCTCCTCCAGTTGACATGAGAGGACCCACAATGGGGAGAAACCTTAGGAATGCAGTGAATGCAGGAAGGCCTTTAGCTGGGCCTCATCCCTTACTCTCTATCCGAGAACTCATACAGGCGAGAACCCCTACAAGTGCCCCAACTGTAGGAAACCTTTCCAGTACAGGTCCTCCCTCATCGAGCACCAGGAAATCCACACAGAGAAACCCTACAAATGCAGTGACTGAAGAGGCTGTCAGCTACAGCGCCTCCGTCAGCATCCATCAGAGAACTCAAACTGGGGAGAATCCCTGTGTGTGTAAGGAGTGTGGGGACACCTTGAAGTACTGCTCCTCCCTGACCATGCACTAGCGGATCCATGGTGTCAGGACGCCCTGTGAGCATAAGGGATGCCTGAAAGCCTTTGGTCGTGGTTATCCCGTAAAGTACAGAGGATCCCTGCCAGGGAGAAATCCTACAGACACAGTGAAGGTGAGGAGTCCTTTTGTGGCAACTAACTTCCGAGAGTTCTTACTAGAACATACCATGCATGTGGAACCTTCAGATTTCATTTGGCCCAAGATATCTGAGACATTACATTGTACATTAATCATGGAGATATGGGTCAATGGTCCCCAAGACCACCTCCAAGTTTGGTGACTCACTAGAAGGACTCAAGAGAACTCAGCGTATAGTTGTACTCATGGCTAAGAGTTATCACAGTGAAAGGATACAAAGCAAAACCAGCAAGTGGGTAAAGGCGCCTGGGGTGAAAGGTGAAGTCGAGGAAGCCAGGCACACACTTCCAGGAATCCTCTCCCATTGGAGTCACACAGGACGTACAATTTATCCAGCAGTGAGTTGTGACAACACTGCTCTCCTGACTCCTCCTCCAACATACTAAGCTATTTTGTGACTTCAGGACCTTTGCTCATGCTGTTCCCTCTGTCCAGAACACTCTCCTTTCCTAATGTTCCATGGCTGACTTTTCCTCATCCTTTGGTCTCTGCTCCCAGAAGGCTTCTCTTGGACCACCCAGTCTAAAACTAGCCCTCCTGCTGGCACTCCTCTACCCGTTACCCTGTTTTCTTTTTCTTTGTAACACGTGCCACCTTGTTTTGCTTATTACCTTTCTCCGTATGACACACTAAAGTTTGAGAAATACTGGTTTCAGGAAAGGGTTGAAAACTCAGGTGCCTACGGGGCCAGGCACTTTGTGAAAATGCGTTAATGCCTTTAGATCAAGCTCACCTCTCTGATTCCATCACAGGCCCCATTCACACATTTGCACAAAGGGGCAACCCTTGCCTTAAGCCAGTGTTTTTGAAATTTTAGCTTTCAACAGAATCCCCTGGAGGGCCTGTTAAAACACAGGGTGCTGGGTCCCACTCCCCAAATTTCTGACTCAGTAGATCTGGCTGGAGCCTCAAAATTTGCATTTTTTTTTCTCCTTCTTCTTCCCAAAGGCCCTGCAGTACATAGTTGTATACTCTAGTTGTGAGTGCCTTGGTTGTGCTATGTGGGACACCGCCTCAGCATGGCCTGATGAGCGGTGCCATGTCTGCGCCCAGGATCCAAACCGGCAAAACCCTGGGCCACCAAAGCGGAGCGTGAGAACTTAACCACTCAGCCACAAGGCTGGCCCTGAGAATTTACATTTCTAACATGTCCCCAAGTGTACTAGTTTCCTGTGGCTGCTGTAAAAAATTACCACAGACTGAGTAGCTTAAAACAACAGAAATGTCTTCTGTTACAGTCCTGGAGGCCAAGTCCGAAATCACTATCACTGGGCCGAAGTCAAGGTGCTGGCAGGGCCGCACTCCCTCTGGAGGCTCTAGGGGAGACTCCTTCTGTGCCTCTTCAGCTTCTGGTGGCTGCTGGCATTCCTTGGGTTGTGGCTACATCATCTCATTCTTCAAATCTCTTTCACATTGCCACCTCCTCTGTGTGTGTGAAATCTCCCCCTGCTTCCCTCTTATAAAGATACATGTAATGGCATTAGGGCCCACCTGGATAATCTCCATCTTGAGATCCTGTTACTGAGCTTGCTCTACTCACTTCGACCTGAGCCAATCAATCACAATGAGTTAGGGATGAAGAAAGAAAGTTTAATTAGATTGGATTAGCTGGCAAATTGGAAGACAGGTGACTATGTCTCAAAAACTTATCTTCAAAAATTACAGAATCTTGGGGCTGCCCCAGTGGCGCAGTGGTTAAGTGCTCACGTTCCACTTCTGTGGCCCCAGGTTTACTGGTTCGGATCCTGGGTGCAGATATGGCACCGCTTGGCAAGCCATGCTGTGGCGGTGTCCCACATATAAAGTGGAGGAAGATGGTCATGGATGTTAGCTCAGGGCCAGTCTTCCTCAGCAAAAAGGGAGGATTGGCAGCAGATATTAGCTCAAGGCTAATCTTCCTCAAAAAAACAAAACAAACAACAATTAACAGAATCTTGAGGTAGTTATATAGGGAAAATGGGCATTGAGGAGGGGGTCCAGGGATGTTGGGCTCCAGATATGACGGGCTCCCAGCATCACACTGTTCCATTCTTCTGTCAGCTGTGATGGACAACTTATAGGTGTGTTTCCTGCCTATGGTCAGCATGTTCCTGGAGAGAAACTCAGAACAAAGTTTTAATTTATCAAGCTATCTGGGAGTACAAATGTAAGTGGAGCCCATAAATCAGGAAAGCATGTGAAGTTTTTAGAGTACGTGCAGAGCAGTGAGTAGTCAGAGGAGGGGCTGGGGCCATTTAGTATAACGAGATGGCCTTACTTACAATCCTTAACTTATTCACACATGAAGAGACCCTTTTTCCAATTAAGGTCACATTTACAGGTTCCAGGGTTTAGGAACTGATCTCTCAGGGGCCATCATTAGCCCACTATGCCAGCCAACAGGGATGCTGCTGGCCCAAGGAGCACACATGGAGAAGCACTGCCTTAAACCACAGGCTAGATCATAGCATGTCTTCGGAGTCACAGAGGCCTGGGCTTGGAATCCATTCTGACACCACCAATTCCTAGCTATGCACTCTTGAGCAATTTGCTACCTCTGCCAACCTGTTCACTCTCTGTCCCCACCTAGTTGGGCATGGGGGTTAGAAACCATGTAAGCACCTAGCAGAGAATCTGGCCCATTGCAATTCAGATGCCTCCAAATGGGGCCTACGGACCAGTCATAGCTCATAAATGCTTTATGGTTCTGAGATGGCATTTTTAAAAATTAGTTGTCCACATTAAAATATTGGGAGACTTCACATAAAAATTGAGTATTCCAGATTCTCTTGAAAAATCAAAAGATCTGGTAAGAAGAGTTCCTTTGGTTAGGATTAGTCCCCTTCCTCTTCACCATATTCTCTATCCTACCCACCTGGCTCCCTTAGGTGCATGAGTTTGCATCCTATAGAGGGATTCATTGCAGCTCAAGTCCTTTCTTCTCTTTATTCTAAACCTTTTTACCTGAAAGGCTGAAGTGGGCCAGGTGCCATGGCAATGGGTGCTGTACTTCCCTTCTGCAAGGTCCCACCTGCTTATCAGATGGCCTGGGCACCAGCCCTGGACCCAGAGCTTCCCAGCTGGAACTGTCAATGGGAGGAGAGATTCCAGGGTGGGGGCATGACTGACCCCTCTGAGGTGGTGTTCATGTGTGTGTGTGCACATGCGTGTTGCACACGTACCCACCCGGACTGCTAAGTTTCTCTGCATTTTCCTGGAGAGAAAGTCCCCGGCTTTCATCAACATTTCAAGATCATCTGTTGCCCCCAACTGGTTATAGAAGCCTGGGGTTTGGCTGGCTTGAATGCATGCAGTGAGACAATATTGAAGTGACCCCATCTCTGGGATGCTGGCTTTTCATGAGAAATACAACAAAAAAAAGAAAAACCCTATACAAGAAAACCCACAAGTGCAACAATATGTAGGAATAACTCAGGAAAACTTGTGCTTATGAGAAGAAATTATAACTTTACTGATTGATAAAAAAAAGCTTGAATACATGAAAGGACAATATCATATTCCTAGATGCTAAGATTAAGTGTAACAATGTTAATTCTGCCTAATTCATTTATAAGTTCACATCAATAATCATCAAAAGGCTGTTTTTAGCTGATAAATTTTCATCTGGAATAACAAAATTATACATTTTTTCATATAAATATACATACACATATGCTTTTTTAAGGTACAATGATGGAAAACTCATTAAATATAAAGCTATAAAAATTTTAAACGAACATAGCTCCAATAAAATAGGGCAACAAGCCAGTGAAACAAAGTAAATGGTCCAGATAGAGATCCTACACTAATATATTTATAATATATTATGACTATGAATCATTTACTGATAATTCATGTTGGGGCAATTAACAATGGGGGAAATCTTGATCCTCTCTTCACACACACCAAAGTAAATTCAAGAATGGTTAAAGCATATTAAAAAAATAAAATAATGAAAACTGCAGAATAAAACTATTGTTTAGAGAAGGTTAGATTTTGTAGGCTTGGGAAGGAAAACAGAAGAATTGAGCTATATAAAAGTGAAAGCTTGTCAAAAAAATAATTCAAAGAAAATGCCAAACAAACTGGGAAAAACATTTATGGCCAAAATGAAGACAAAAAACTAATATCTGTATTATATAAAGAGATTGTTCAAATGGACAGGAAAATATTAAAGCCACATAGACAACACAAAAAGGAAATATAATTGCTTAACAAGCTTAGAGGAAAATGTTAACCTCCTTAAAAGTCAAATTAATACAAGTAAAATTAGATGCCCTTTCCCCTATTAAATTAAAATTAAAGATGAAAAATGCTCTCAATACATGATGCCAGTGAGGACATGTAGAACACAGAGCAGCATGTTTTACCGGCAGCAGAGCAAAGTGGTGTAACATTTTCAAAGGAGCTTGGATGTATGTATCAAGAACCTTAAAACAGTTATACCCCTTGTGACCCAGTGATTCTCCTTTGGCTAAGTCTATCTTAAGGAAAAGAATTCTAAATTTGGAAAAACATTTAAGCACCAAAATGTTCATTAAGTATCATTTACAATTATGAAGAATCAGAAGTAAAACATTCAAAGAGAGAGGGCCACACATACAAAGCTCTGAGTATACTAAGGACAGACGAGGGGGCCAGAGCAGTGTGTAAGTGTAAGACTGGATGGAAAAATAAGATATGCTGTTGCACGTGTGGAATGATCACAGCTATATGAAAACTACCTATGAACACCTTTAAGTAAGTAATATAGTTACATTGGTGAAAACGCACAGAGGTACCAGGAAAAGTAGACCTTTTTCCCACTACTCTCCAGAGGCAACCATTTTCGTAAATCTGGCAATAATTTTAAATTATAAGAAAATAAACCAAAATGTTAATGGTGTTTGTGGTATATTGGGAGGGGGGTACAGACAGAGGGAGAGAGAGATCTTATACCTTTCGATAAAACAAATGAAAGAAACTGTCTTTAATAAGCCATTACTTTAAAATGAAAAACATTAATCTTTCAGAAATGCATACTTTAAAAAAAGGAAAGTCAGTTCATGTCAATAGAACAAGCATGAAGACACAACAGCTAAAGAGGTAAAAGGCCTAGATTGTACACAAAGAAGTTTAAAAGCATGTGGGAGGAAATCCATTAGTAAGCAAAGATCACTGGGCTTATCAAATAGGCAAACTTTTTGTTGGTTTGTCTTGAATGATAAACATCCAATGCTGGTACAGTTGTCCAAATGTTTATTTATACCAGGGGTAGCAAAGACATTTCTTTGCATATACAAACTTGGCTCAGCTTGTCTGGTATGCCTTGAGTGCCGTGCTGAGAAAGATTCTGAGCCTGTCGTCAGGTGCACTGGACCCAGAGAGAGCCTAAGTGATTAGCAAAACCTGTCACTGACTGAGGTGGGAGGACAGGTTGCCACCTATTTCACGCCCCTGGCCCTCCCTTTGCTGGGGGCTGCAAACGGCATGGCCCCTCCAGAAACAAAGGCAGTGGGATCTTTCAAGAGCCATGGAAATGTTTATCACATCTGATCTAGTAATACCACTTTTTGGAGATTTATCTTAAGAAAACAACTAACAATACCTTATGCTTTGTTAATCAAATATTTATTTAAAAATTGTCATTACAAAATAAGTGAGAAAAAGAGAAACTTCAAATTTGTGACACATATGTGAAAAACCCATACACATAGAAAAACTTATCTGTACAGAGAATACTAAAGTATGACAAAACGTGGTTGTATTCTGATGTGTAACTCTGGTTTACAATTCTGAAGTTTAATAACTGTCACTAAGAAAACTTTAAAAAGTAAAGGAAAAATATATGAAAACAAAATATTCCATAAGAGCAGCTGGTTCCTGAGTCCTACCGTACAAGGCGCTGTTGGGTTCTTTCACAGATGAGCTCCAGGCCTCTCAACAGTTCCAGGAGGAGGCCCTGTTAGCACAGTTCCTAAGAAAACAAGGTTTACTCAGCTTCTAAGGAGGGGCTGAGATTTGGCCTGGCTCCAAAGCCCACACTCTCCCTTTTCTGTCAAGGGGCTCGTCTACCCACAAACATAACTACAATCCTGGGCCTGTACTCATCGAGTGTCTAGGACTATTAGGAAGTTTACTAGCCTCCTTTGCTTTCCAAAGTTTTCTTTAATATGCATAGTATTATTTGTTTCGTGAGGAAAATAAACCTAATAAAACTACGTTAAAATTAGGGTTCTAACAAACTACTCCATCTGTGGCTCTTTCCAGGCCTGACTTCAGACCTTTTACTTCCTAAGATGGGTTATCAGAGCCAGTTCTTCAAGGTGTGGGGGAGAGTTGAGTAGTTTAGTTGTACTCTAGAGAAAAAATAAGCATGACTTTTAGACCATGTGGGGATGAGGCCGGGGGTGTTTCGAAAGCCTTCAAGATACACATACCTCTTGACCCAGAAATTTGACTGCTGGGAATCTCCCCTTAGGAAACGTGACCGTATGCAAAGACATCGGAGCGAACCGGTAACGGAAATGCTGAGACCCAAGAGATAACGAGGAAGCACGACTGCAGCAGCAACGCACATGCAAGAGAGAAATTACAAGAGACCCCGTTTCCAGCCCTAGGCGGCTAGTGAAATAAATGAGGACATAGCTATGCAACCAAGTACTAGGCAGTCCTGAAGGACGAAAATTGCGGGGTGCATTTATGGATATGGCAAGATGTTCATGATACATCAGAATCAAAACTACAGCCTTCTAAACAGTGTTAGTGGGATGATTCTATTTCATAAAAATGTATCATTTTTTTCTAAATTTATATAGATCTATGCATAGGAAGAAAAATGCCTGGACAATTTTAACCCTTTTAGCAACAAGTGTATCTGGGAGAGAGAAATACAAATATTCAAAGAAAAAACAAACGTTATTTTCTAATCTTCTTCAAGGAATATGTATTACTTACATAATCACAAAAAAGAAAGCTTAAAACATGAAGGTTTCTAAATTTAAAAAAGAAGGAACCTGAATATAAGAGCAGTATCCAATCTGTCAGATGTGTTAGGAACTGGGTGGGGGGGGGGGAGCAGGAAGCAGAAAAGCATTCTCCTTGGAGCCCACCAAGCTAGCAGCAAGAAACGCAGCAAGCTGAAAGCCAAACTAACAGGCTGAAGTACCGCCAGTGCCGTCAGCTCAAGTGTAGCTTGTAAAATACGGAGGCAGCAGCTTGTGCATCTTCTATATGTTCCAGATAGTCTACGGGTGACAAGTTAACTATCCACGTTGTCACCACTGCCATTTGTGGCACAAAAGAAGCATCAGAACAAAGTCTAGTCTGATCCTCCCTGACTTTCTCTAGTTAAGGCTCCTCAAGATGCCTGAAGCCCCAGCCCAGGGTCCTCAACAAAAAGCCCACACCCAAACCCCTCAAGGAGTCTCTGCCACCTCCTAATTCAAGTGTCTGAAAACCAGGGTGGAGTGATGGAGGGGGCCATGTAGAGAAAAGTCTACAAGAGGTAATGAAGAAGGAGCTAAAGCAGCTGGCCCAGGAAGAATCCAGTGACGGTGAAAACTGAAACCTCACTGCCTGTGACTGGTGCAGTGGCTTGGAGAATGACTTTAAAAGGCTGGGCCTTTGGGAAGGGCCAACACTGTGCCCTGACGGGTTATGATATAAACCACACAAAACCATCAATGAGCTGTTCTTGCAGGGAAGTTGAAGCTGAATCTAATTATTAAGTCTCCAGAGTTTAGAGCTAACTTTCATTTATAGAAAATACAGAGGAGAGAGGAATAAGCTTAAGGATACCACAGGAAAGAAGCAGATATATTCAGAATGGGGGCGATTCCATACAACAACTGATCCAGTTTCTTCCAGTATTACTTGCATAATCACACAAAGCTTTAAAAAGAAAAATGAGTGCAAGAATGATAGCTGCCAGGGCTAGGAGGAGGAGGCAATGGGGAGTTACTGTTTAATGGGTATAGAGTTTTAGTTTTGCAAGATGAAAAAGTCCTAGGGAATCTGTTGCACAAGAATGTGACTACACTAAACTATTGGACTATACACTTAAAAATGTTTGAGACGGTAAATTTTATGTTATATGTTTTTTACCACAATTAAAAATAATTGTTTTTAAAAATGGATGCTCCTAAATTTAAAAAAATTAAACCTTAATGTACGAGTAGTACCATAACTCTTAGACATATTAGGAATTGGGCAGGGGAAGGAGGAAGTGTATTTCTACATTATCCTCGGGTCACACAAGGCCTTAAAAAAGGTGAGAGGAGACTGCTTTAGATTAAGAGAGACTCAAGAGATCAGACAACCAAATGCAACCTGCGGACTATGTTTGGATCTAGATTGAAATAAGCCAACTGTAAAAGGACATCTTGAAGCTGATCAGGGAAACCTGATTACGGCCTGGGTAAAACCCTTTGAGGTGATTTAGAAAGATGTATTGAAGTTTAAAAAAATAGAGATGAGACAATTGAAAGAAAATGTATCAGGTAAATAACAATCCAGATAGAAGGTAGATTTAGCAAAAAGGGTGAAGAGAGAAATGAAATGACTGAGATCGATAAGGGCCTGAGTTAACCTATGACCCTGGGGAAAGAAGCAGATTTCATGAGACAGTGATGAGGGAGAAACCATCATAAACGCATGACAAGGGTTCCTAGGTGTGAAGGGAGAGAAATAAAGGAGGGCATAGGAAATTATAAGTTTTCAGAAAAGGATGAAAGCTTGTTGAAAAGGCACAGGAGCCAACTTGAGCCAATGGCCAGAAGTGGAACAATGTGAACAACAAAATAAATAATGTCAGTATGAACTATACTCCATGGAATAAAATAAATATCCATGAATCCATACTGATATAAATTACTGAATAAATAAATAGATAACTCTTCCTCACAGGAGAATTCTATAAATGTAGAAGGAATGAGGGAAATGAAACATTGCCATTACAATACCACAGAGTAATAAAGGCTGTAGGCAAGATCCTCTTGGCTGGATGCCAGAATTTAGTGGGTAAGTCTGAGGAGAAACTGGATATTTGCATGGTCTCAAAGTTTCTCCTGCAAGATATTTATTAATTACAAAAAGAAATAAATAGTAGCTTTATAGTAGAAAAATCCAGCAGATACCACTTTAAATCAAGGCATCAACATTAATTAACATCACCAACATTAAGACCTATTGTCATCATGTCCCCTTGTGGTAGTGGTGGCAGGATCAGAAACCACTTTACGGTGGGTTGGAGAGTAGACTGTGGTGAGAAAATAGGGCCAGCCAATGAGGACTGTTTCCTCAAGAACTTTGAAATGAAGAGGAGGGGTTGTGTAGTGGCACTCATTTGGCTGGTGTAGGTTCTGACCAGTCATGTTTGTTTTGCATTTCATGACTTTGGAGCCACACATCAGAGATCAACTTCAAAAGTGACTGGATGAGAAAAAGTAGAGCAGTGAATGACAATAGCAACAACCCACCCTTCCAGAAGAGGAATCAGGTTCTGAGACTCCAGGTCCAACCTGTTACCACGTCTTTGTATTTGACCACCATTCAAGTCAGTGATGGAAAACTTTTAGCATTATAGCAATATGGTATGAAAGAGAGTTATAGTGCAATTCAGGGCTGATCCCTTTAAAAAGTAAAGTATGGGAGCCAGCCTGGTGGCACAGTGGTTAAGTTCGGGAACTCTGCTTTTGCAGCCCAGGGTTCGCGAGTTCGGAGCCCAGGCGAAGACCTACACATTGTTCATCAAGCCATGCTGTAGCGCCGTCCCACACACAAAACAGAGGAAGATAGGCACAAATGTTAGCTCAGCGACAATCTTCCTCAAACAAAAAGAGGAAGACTGGCTACAGATGTTAGCTCAGAGCAATCTTCCTCACCACCCCCACCAAAAAAAGTGAAATATGCTCAGCACAGATTAGGATTTGGGGTAAAGTTTGCTGTGCTGATGAGGCCAGAACCTAAGAAAGCAGAAATACTGCTTTCAAACGGGGTTTTTTAAAAGGAGGGAAAAAGGAAAATAAGAAACCCCAACCCCTCAAACAACTACAAAAAATACTCCTCTACTCGATCAGTAATGGCTTTACAATCTACAAGAACAATTACAAGAAAGTGTTTAGCAAAAACATACTTCCCTGAATTAGTGTCTCAAAAAGTCACCGTCTAATCTTAAATCGCAAGAGAAATGCCTATCAGAACTTCACGCTCTTTAAGAAAGCTTTCTGAACCCCTGATACTACAAGTGTCCTCATCTGACTTAACATGAAACACTGCCAGGATTACTAACGAGGAAGATGGCTGCAGTAGGTATAGGGCTGTAGCTTTTCTTCAGTGAGCATATGGCATGGCAGGAATTTAAAAAAGTGGGTTCAGTTCCTGCTCCATCACTTACAACCTTAGATAAATCAACTGACAACTTAGAGTTTCAAATTTGCCTTCTCTGTAAAAACGGAATAAATAGCCTCACTAGTACACTGCAGCATTCCTTAAGGATTAAATAAGAGAACATACATGGCAATGTTTTGTAAACTATGAGGTACGATGTAAATATATTACCAATTATATCAGCTTTGTGGATGAATCGATATAGGCACACCTGGAAAATCTTTTTACCATGCCCTGTGCTGATACATCTCTTGTGGTGAAAATATTTCATGTAAACATTTCCATAAAAACCCAGGCAATAGATTGCCACTCTGGAGCCCAACAGCCAGTTACAGGTGTGTTGTCGGGATGTCAAAATCAAGGTTCTCCATTCTGCAAATACCACCAAAGGAGAGAAAAATCTATCAGCTTCTTTCCTATGCAACAAAAATACTCTTTGTAAGGCTTTTTGGCCTGTGTGACTGCTGACGCGTGTTGAATCTCCCTTTGCAAAAAACTGTTCTACACTCTTGCAACTATTCACTGTTTTTGACCACACTATGATGAATTTTCAAGTCGTTAATGAGGTGTGAGGGCTGGTGGATGGCTTTCTCATATTCATAGCTCTCAGAGGGTCTCTCTCCAGGATGAAGCCAAATATGTTGAGAATGTTCTCTTACTGGAGGTTTTTCAGTAGTAATTGCGCTCGACAGGTTTCTCTTGAGAATGGAGTTGATAATGTTGAGTGAGGTATGAAGGTAGGCTGAAACACTTCCCACACAGCTGACACTGGTAAGGCCTCTCTTGAGCATGAATTCGATAGTGTTGAATGAGATGTGAACTCTGACTGAAGGCTTTGCCACAGTCACAACACTGACAGGCTCTTTCTCCAACATAGTCATGTTTCCGCTGATAGCGAATTAAATATGTCTTGTTGTGGGGCAACTCAGGTGGAAGGGCTTTTGCTGCCTCATGGGCTTTGACATGTTGAAAAAGATGCACATGCTGGAGAAAGGCTTTGCCACACTGAAAACATTCATAGTACTCCTTCTGCCTATGAATTCTTACACGGCCACAGATATTTGCACGCTGAATGAAAGACTTTCCACCTTCATTGCATCCAGAGGGCTTCTCACTAGGATGAGTCCTCTGGTGTCTGGTGAGGTGTGGTATGAGGTAGAAGGCTTCTCCACACTGTTTACATTCAAACGGTTTCTTCCCAGTATGGATCCGCTCATGTATCTCACGGGCTGTTTTGGTACTAAAGGTTCTTTCACAAAATTCACATCTGTGGTATTTGTTGTCTTGGAGGAAAGGCTTATTGTCCACTGGCTGGGAACTGGTGTAAATTCTAGGAGTAGCACATTCCTGGGGATCCTTTCCTAGAGGAGCCTCTGACTGTTTAGTAGGATTTGAACTTCTCTCAAATTCATCACTGCCATGGCTTCTTTCCTGAGTGAGGGTCTTGGGGTCACTCACTGTTAAAGGACTCAAAAATTTCTCCTGGTTGACCTGGTGTGATTCTGATGGATCATCAGGAGAAGACTCTCCTACATAGACAGGCCAGAAGTTACCTACCTCCAAACCCTCCGTTCCTGCCCCCAAGGATGACTTTTGTACGGGCAGGCTTTGCTCTGGAGTTACATCTTTGGTTTCCAGTTTTTTCTCCCAATCTAAAAGAAATGTAAAAGTTCCTCTATTCTTTCTACTCAGAGAGACACATCATTATAGGAGAAACAGAATAAAGAGACCAAAGATAACAGGACAGATCTATGGAGGTTTGACCATTTTCTGGGAACCTAAGGAGAGAATTGGAAAAGGATGGAAAGGAGAGTAAGCAAGGAAGGTTGAGGAAGAGGCAGAAAAGAGACCACCCAGGAGGACTGAAGGTTGACAAAGATGCCAAAGACACAGACAAGAGAATGAGGAAACCAGAGAAAGAGCTGGGACTGGGATCTGTCAGCATTTTCCAGACCATGTTTAGTAGATCACTAGTGTTCTAAAAAACAAATAGCTGGGGCCATAAAGGGATTCCATTGTCAAATCAATTTGGGAAATCTTGTACAATACAAGTCAAGCAGGTTTCACTCCTGTAGGAGTCTTCAGAACCTTCACTGGCATCTTGAATCCCAAAGAGGGAAGGTACAGAATGTAGCGTTTCTCAAACTGATCTCACCATGGAACACATTTTGTGTTTTTTTTTTTAAGAATGCCTATTATCATAGTTCAGAAAGACCACTGAGGAAACACTGGAGTCAACAGGTCAACGTCTCACTCAGAATAAAGCAAAAAAATTCTAACTCTCTTCTTGGCTTCCAATCGCTTGTCTACACTGCCAACCAACTAATTCCCTTCAATTCAACATTTATTAAATGCCTACTTTGTGCAAGGCATTACCCAACCAGATTGTCATGAGAAGTGTAAAAAAGACGCTAATCTGACTATAAATGACTACAGGAGAAGAGACGAGGGGATTGATTCCACTGAGGAACAGGAAAGTTTAGCAGAGAGGATGGCATTTGGACTAAGTAAGCGGTGAAGGGGGTGGCAAGCTTATAAAACATCCTGAGCAAAGATACTGAACTGTGAGTATCCAGGCCTGGGGAGCCAGAAACACAGGGTTTTACTTGGAATATCTGTGAGAGACGAGGCTGGAATATGAATTTCAGGTCAGCCTAGGAGGGATTTAAATGTCTTGCTAAAAGTTTGGATTTTCTTTTGAGAGTGGTAAGAAGCTGGTCAAGTCCGTGCTTTATAAAGGCAACTCCCTGAGTGGGAAAGAAACTGAAGCCAAGAAAATCAAGTATAAGATTGTGGCTTGGAAGAGACAATGATGAACACAGTGGTCGCATCCTGGCAGATGCTGGGAAGAGGTGAGCAGAGTCCAGGAGAAACAGCAGAACCAGAATATAGCTTAGGCAGTCAACAGGAGAAGAGAGAGAAGTGGACCCATCATGATGGATTAGATCTCTTAGGAAATTATCTTTGAAGACTCAAGCATGGAAGACTATGAGACAGCCCAGTCCTTCCTGGCTCCTCTGCTTTCCTCGCCCTGCCTTACTTCTGATGTCTCAGTAGGTTCTGCCAGTTCTCCTTTCAGAGAATACCTCAAACCTGAGCACTCTGCAATCACAGCACCAGCCTCCGTCAGCTTTAGCCTACTGAACTCCAACAGGCTCCCAACCGGTTTCTCTGATGGTCTGCCTAAAGCTCATTTTCCACAGAACAGTGCTGCCCAATAGAACTCCCTGCTATGATGTAAATGGTCTATATTTTTTCTGTGTGATACAGTAGTCACTAGACACAGGCAGCTCACGAACACTTGAAATGTGTCTAGTGTGACTGAGAAACTAAACTTTAAATTGTATGTAATTTTAATTAGTGTAAATTTAAGTAACCACATGTGACTAGTGGTCAATTACACTAACTCATTCTTGGCTAAAAACCTTCCAATATCTTTTTCACATCTCACTTGGAATGACATCCATATTCCTTAACATATCCCTTCATGGGCTGGCCTGTATCTGTCTCCGTGACCTCATCTCCTACCCTGAGTGCACTTCACTCAGGCCACACTGCCCTTCTTCCTGTTTCTCGAACATCCAAGCTCATTCCAAACTTGAGGCCTTTGTATTTGCTGTTCCCCCTGCCTACAACACTCCTCCTCAAGGTTTTTTACGTGGTTCCCCCTTTAGTTTCATTCAAATCTTCCTCAGTGAGGCCTTGCCTACCTTTTTTTTTTTTTTTAAAGATTGGCACCTGAGCTAACAACTGTTGCCAATCTTCTTCTTTTTTTTTCTGCTTTTTCTTCCCCAAATCCCCCCAGTACAGAGTTGTATATTCTAGTTGTGGGTTCTTCTAGTTGTGGCATGTGGGACATCGCCTCAGCAGACTTGATGAGCGGTGCCATGTCCGCACCCAGGATCCGAGCCAGCGAAACCCTGGGCCACTGAAGCGGAGCATGTGAACTTAACTACTCGGCCCCAGGGCTGGCCCCCTGAGTATCCCCTTTTAAGCAGTCTCCTATATGCCACTTTGTCTGCTTTATACAGATTCTACCATTTGTTTGTTTATCACTTACCATCCCCATTAGAATGCAAACTCCACAAAGGGAGGGATTTTGTCTGTCTTGTTCATTACTGAATCCACAGAACTTACGACAGTAGCTGGCCTACCACAGAAGTTCAATAAATATCTGTGGAATGACTGACCAAATGAAAGAATGAATGAACAAACTACAGTACAGAAGAGAAGACAATGAAAGAAACAGAGACAGGGAGAGGAGTCCTCTTGGTAGGTCCCTGAATTTTGTTTGAGCATTCACTTCACCCACCCAGGAAAAGGCAGGGAGGACAGTGTTAACTAGCACTAGAGTGAGCACAGCTACAGGTTCAGCAATGAGATGTGACCCAAAATGGAACAATGAAAAGTGAGAAGAGTTGTGTCAAGGGCTTCTGGGAAAGAGCTTCCTCGTTCTTGAGAATGCTTCTTTGATACACCTGCTCTCCCATTCTCTCTTTGGACAGGAACAAGAAAGCACATCTAGGATTTGTTGGCAGAGTGAAAAGAGAAAATGAAACTAGGTCTTTGATGACATCACTGAGCCCTTAAATCCAACCACCCTCAAAGCCCAGTTGACCAGTGCTGTAAACTAATAATCCCTCTATGGCTTAGTTTGGAAGTGATTTTCTGTTAACTGTAATTGAAGGACAATGATGATACTGACTGACATACACAGTGACATAATTCAAAGAAAGAGATTTCATAGAGATGGTAAATATTATAATATTGTAGCCATAGAGTTTGCAGAAGAGAAAGTCTAGAAGGTTCTGTTCTTGAGCCCTAAGGATGTAGGAGCTTTGGGGGAAGTTGTAGAACTGTGTGTGTGTGTGTTGGCAGAGGTAGGGAGATGGAAACCAGATTTCAGGGGTTAAGGAGGGAAAGGGAAGGAACCTTTTGGGTATCAAAAAGTCTGAGGAGCTGACATGAGGGAAAGGGGGAGGCAGCTGGAAAGAGACAGGGTATCACACCAAAGGTTTTTTGCTTGTCTCAGTTAAAGAGGAAAGACCTACGATTTCTAACTATGAAGGGAAAGGCACAAATGAATGGAAGGTCTGGAACACTGGAGAAGAGGGAACCCGGCCTTCGTGCACCTGGGCAGGAGAGGACTCACATTGCAGGAAGAGATAAGCTTCGGAGAGGAGATGAAGGGAAGTGCTGAGCACACGAGGTGGGGAAGCCATGTGAGGCCCTGAGGAGAGACCACCTACTGGCCTTCTCCCTGACCTGAGTGGGCTCTGAGGAAGCTCCCTGACTAGCAGCTCCCGGCCCCACCCCAAGTGACTGCGGTTGTCTTTCCATGATTCCAGTCTCCATGGGCCTCCCCCTCACTACCCACCTTGACATATTGTGTTGCTGTCTTCCTCCATCACACGTGACTCTTCCTCTTCCAGCCGTGAGATAAGGTCGGGTTTAGGGAACTGGTACCCTGTTGAAGAAGGAGACTCATAACCTGGGGGTTTTGTCCTGCACCCACAGCAACTCCCAGGCTGGGCTCTAAAGACTCTGAGATAATAAGGAAGATGCAAATTCACACAGAAGAAAAATGAAGGTTGTTTCCAACGATTTTTCCCCCAGGAGACATTTGGCAACGTTGGGAGACATTTTTGATTGTTACAACTGCAAGGGGAGAAGGGAGTGCTACTGGTGTCCAGTACGTAGAGGCCAGGAATGCTGCTAAACATCCTGCAATGCACAGTTCAGCCTCCCACAGCAAAGAATGATCCGGTCCAAATGTCAAAAGTGCTGTGGTTGGAAAACTCTGCTCTAGAGTAAAAACTGAAGAGGGTACTTGAGGGCCGTGTGCCAGGCTCTCTACTTCAGCATGGGCATTCTGGCGATGTAGGTGCTCAAAAACTGAACATATGGTTCTTTTCCTCCTGTGATAACCTTCGTTCCCTGGTCTTAAAATGCTTCTTCTCCCCTTCCCTTAGTTCAATGTTTCCCAAACTTCACTCATTTGCATACCACCTGCTATGGTCTGAATGTTTGTATCCCCCCAAAATGCATGTTGAAATCCTAGTGCCTAATGTGATAGTATTAGGGAATGTGGCCTTTGGGAGGTGCTTAGGTCATGAGCGGGGAGCCCTCACGAATGGGATCAGTGCTCTTAGAAAACAGATCCCACAGAGTGCCCTAGCCCCTTCCAACACATGAGGACACTAGAAGTCTGCGACCCAGAAGAGGACCCTCACCCAACAGTTCTGGCACTGTGGTCTTGGACTTCCAACCTCCATAATTGTGAGAAATAAATTTCTGTTGTTTAGAAGCCAGCCAGCCTGTGGTATTCTATTATAGCAGCCCAAATCGACTAAGATATTACCTTATTACTTACTTGTTTATTGTCTCTCTCACCCTACTAGAATGTAACATCCATGAGAACAGGAATTCTCATCCATTTTGTAACCCCAAGCCTATAACAGTACCTAGCACATTGTGAGTTCACTGACTAATGAATGACTCTCACATTTTAGCCCTATGTATGTGCCCTTTATAGTAGTATTTAGTATTTATTTAAGATTTTTCTCTAGATCACCTCTCTTTTTAACTTAAATGCACTTAACTTAAATGGAACCTTTATATCAACCCTGTAATAGAAACTACTGTCATTAAAAAAAAAACCTGAAGGTAACATAGCAATAGATACAACAGCAACTAAGGTTATTGAGCACTAGCTATCTTCAGTTGACTATCTAAGGCTCAGAGCCTGAAGTCTGATCTCTCTTTGCTAAAATGAATAATCAACAAGATGCAGAGACATGCTATCACCCAAGTGATATTCTCTACCTGATGTAATCAGAAAGTTTGGAAGAAAATTAGAAGGAGTTGCTTTCTCACCAAGTGATTGAAGGATTATTTCATGCTGTCCACGTACCACCTAAAATAATCTATAGAACGCACTATACTCATTCCACACTTGCAAAGACAACGTCCTAGGTGACATGTAAGATCTTTATTAACCCAAAACCTTCAGTGTTGTAAGAAGCCAAGGGCTCACAAGAAAACGGACACGCTTCCAGGTCATTGCACGAGGGCTGAAAAGATAAAACTGATTTATTCCCTCTCTCCATACTCTCACTTCTATTTTAAGTCATAAAATGTGGTAACCGAGAGAAGAGTGTAGAATACGTTGAAAAAGACATTTCTTTGTGAGCAATAAAAGTCATAGTTCAAATTACACACCCCTGTGCCAGGTTTGAAGTAAAGCGCTCCATTTCCCCATGCAGGTCTCTGAATTCACAGGGATAAAAGAGCACCAGCTTATGGTGGGAATAGTGTTTGGTTGCGATTGTGTTTTTCATGAGACCTCAGGCCCCAGAAAAGCCACTGAAAAGAGGATCCTGACACTGACAACAAAAACATTTAGCTTGTGGGGAGAGGTAAACAACTCTGGATTTTGAAGAGAGACGGACAATCTGACTCTCAAACCTCAAGGCCAGTAGAAGACTTTCAAGCTCCTGGAATTGTCAGCAATTCCTTCAGCCATTCAAAAAACATCATTGCAAGAAACACCTATTGTACCAAGACCTGATGAAGCAAACCCCTGTTGGACAGCACAGCAGAGCTGAAGGGGGCAGATTCTGGAGTCAAACCGCTTGAGGTCAAATCCAAGCTCTGCCACTTTGTACCTGTGTGACTTTAGACAAGTAATTGAACTTTTCCATGACTCAGTTTGCTCACCTGTAAAATGGCAATAGTAACAACAACAACAAATATACCTCCCTGTCATAGAACCAGTATAAAGACTAAAGGAGGTGCTGGCCCCGTGGCCGAGAGATTAAGTTCGCGCCCTCCACTTCGGCAGCCCAGGGTTTCACTGGTTCGGATCCTGGGCATGGACATGGCACCACTCATCAGGCCATGTTGAGGCGGCGTCCCACATAGCACAACCAGAGGCACTCACAACTAGAATACACAACTATGTACTAGGGGTTTTGGGAAGAAAAAGAAGGAAAAAAGATTGGCAACAGATGTTAGCTCATGTGCCAATCTTTAAAAAAAAAAAGACTAAAGGTGTTAAGATATGTAAAGGGCTTAGACTAGTGCCTGACACATATTAACTGCTCAATAAATGTTAGCTATATTACAAGTTAACAGTGAGTGTGATACTAAAATATTGTCTCTGATTTGCGTTGAGACTCATCAACATGGTGAACCATTGTTACTGATGGGAAGACAGAAAAGTGTTGAGAACCACCTCCCCAGAGGGCAGAAACTGAGTTCCATGGAGAAGGCAGACTTACCCAGGGAGACCAGGTTCCTGTAATTCTCCAGCATCACCTCCCGATAGAGGTTCCTCTGAGCAGCAGTAAGGCAGCTTAATTCTTCTGGGCTGAAGTCCACAACCACATCCTCGAAAGTCACCAACTCCTAAAACACCAGAAAACTCCCAAATGATTGAAATCCAGAAGTCATCCCAGGGAGCGGGGAAGGAGCCAGATGAGAGGGCTGACCACGGAAGTTGACATTCAGACCAGCAGAAAGCTTCTAATCCACGTGTTCTAACCCGGAGGCTACAGGGACCTGGCAATGTACCTTTCTTTGTCTTGTAGTCTGAGAAGGGGGAACATTTCTGAGACAGTTCCTGCTGCTAATGGCTACAGAGTTGGATTGGAGGAAAAAGATCTTTTTCAGCCACTTTATAAAGAAAGAATGAATGCCCATAATTAAAAGCTGAGCAGTATACCTCAGCGTCTAGAATCAGAGCGAGTTGGGTTTAAGTCCTGGCTCTGGTTCTTTCTTACAAGTGAGTGTGGGTAGGTGATTGTGACTTATCCATAAAATGCAAAGAGCTCATAAATATGAAGAGATATTTATTATTATTAATAAACAAGGAAATGCAAATAAAAATGACAGAGTACCATTTTATACCCATTCAACTGACAAAAATTAAGAAGACTGCCAATACCAAATGTTATCTAGAATGTGGACCCACAGGATCTCTTATAAGATGCTAAGGGAAATGTAAATCAGTAAACCACTTTGGACCCAGAAATTGTATTCATAGGAATATTTGCTTGTGTGTACTTGGAGACATACATGTTCATAACAGTGCTGTTTGTCACATCCAAAACCTGGAAACAACCCAAAGTCCATTTATAGTAGAAGAAACAAATATATCACAGTACAGTCATACAATGGAATAATATTCCAGCAATACAAACTAATTAACTATAGTTACATGCACCAATCTTGGTAACCTGAGGTTGAACTTAAAAAGCAGATATTAGAAGACTATATAATACTATGATACCCATTTTATTAATATATATCTTCTGTGTTTTCAGGAAACATTATGCAGACCAATGAACATTTCATTTAAACTAGAAGTCACCTACCGGCTGCCCAGGTCCTACAGAGGGGTTTGTTTGGCTCACATGAGTTTTTTATTCTTTTTTAAAATTCATATTAGCTGCCAACACCAAAAAATTTGTAGATTCAACATTATTAACTGGAACTTTGGTTTCTCTTTAAAAAACTGGACGATCAGGGGACCCAGGCCCACATTCTCACATGGTACCATCAGCTGAAGCTGAGTCAAAGCTGCCCCTTAAATGGGGCAGGCACTCCCATTTGTCACAATCCAACCATTTATAAATTCCTTATTTATATTACCTCAGCAGCTCCTGTGGGCATCTCCACTTGGGATTCTTGACATGGACACTGCAAGGACAGAGGGCTACTCTCAGGAGCAGATCTTCTAGAACAGTGTTTCTCAACCTTTTTTCCTTATCTCCCTCTTAAGGAACCTTTTAAGACAATTTTTTTCCTAATCGCCACCCCCCATGAATTTTATTCTGGTTCTAAAGGAAGTGCAGCATATTAATTTCATCAATTGTCTTTAACGTTTCAAAATGTGATTTAACAAGAACATTAAGGAGCACATTCTTGAAAAAAAGAAAATCTCACAACAGTTTCATGTCCTTATATTAGCTGCCATTCATTTCATATATAAACAAGCACAGTAACAGTGCAAATGAGGGTTGTTTTGAATAAGCCAAAAGGGGAGATAAAATGGAATACTAAACAAATTTTAAAAAACAATTCATTCAAGAGATAGGAAAAGAGGAAACATGTTAAAGAAATAGTATGTGGGATAGTGATAACTGCAATAGAGAAAAATAAAGCAAAGAAGGGAGATATAAAAAGTCAGAAGAAAATTTTAGATGAAATAGCCAGGGAAAGGCTCAGTCAGGTGATACTTATAGAAAGAGTTAAAGAAAATGAGGGTTTGGTTTAATTAAATAGAGAAGGTCTGGAAATCAGGAAGGTGAGATGAGATGCCCATACTGGATAACCAAGTCAGAAGAAAGCCTGACTCACAGGAGATCCAGCAGATGGCAGACTGTCAAACATCTTTGTGTCCTTTTGGTCTTCTTCGGTGTTCTTTTCTGCAAGGACAGAGTCCTGAGCGAGAAAACCTAGAAGAGAGAAAGGAATGTCATGGATGGAATTGAGTCCAGTCTGGCAGCACCTACAGACACAGAGAGTGGCCTGTCACTCCCATGCCACCCCATCCTGCCACGGGAGGTAGCAGCAGTCTGAGACTTTCTGTGATAAGAGAAAGACCATAAAAATCTTTTTTCAGCTCAATATAGTAAGTTCCAAAAAAGAGCTCTGGTCATTTCCAGCTCTAAATCCCAGTGGCTCCCCCCTGCCTTCCAAATAAAGTGGATGTTCTCTCTGTATCAGTGGTTCCCAGCATCACCATCCACTCAATCACCAAGGAACCTCAGTTTCTCAACAGTAAAAAGGAAATAATAATACCTATACTTCAAAGGGCTCTTGTAAGGATTAAACATTACATGTGTAAAGCATACAGTAGGCATTTAAAAAAAAAAAAAGGCAGCTCTTATTATTAAGCTTTTCCTATATCTTTTTCACTCACTGACCTAGAAGACAGCCACCACATTCCCCACAGAAACCTGAATCTTGAAGGCCACCCTTGCCTGTAGTCTCTTCCCAAGTGCACCTTTCATTAATCTGTTGTTTCTTTCTATCCTAGGGAGCTCTCTTTCCTTTGCCGCCAACTACAGCTCTGTCAATAGCTCTGTGCCTTTGGCCAAGTCTTTACCCTGGGACAATATCCCCTATGTCCACCTGAGGCAGTGTAACACCATGATTAATGCTGGAACCAGCCACCCAGGTCTGAATCCTGGCTATGGCCATTACTAATCGTGGAGCCATGGGCAAGGTACTCAACCTCTTTGTGCCTCTGTCTTCTCATCTACAGATCAAGAAGTAATACCTACTTCAAGAGCTATTAAGAGAAGTAAATAAATTAATATGTATAAAACATTAATACTATAAAACCTAGAATATAGTACATTGTAAATGCTCAACATATTCATTAGCATCTTCAAAAGTCTTTTTAAGGAATTCAGGTGCACAGAACTGGATTAATCATAATCTTTAATTCAGGATATGATATCAGCACTGAGCCATGCACGACCCTCACATTTATTTTAAATTTATTCATTTATATTTTTAAGTATAATCAAGGCCTGTGAATTCACTACCCAACCCCAAAACTAGAACATTTCCAATAACTTACATCTACCCATATGCCTTTTCCTGTCCACACTCTAGCCTTCTCTCCAGAAATAACTATGGTCTTGGATTCATATTTATTGTTCCCTTGCCTTTTTCTTTCTCTCTCTCTCTCTTTGTATATATATACCCAAACAATACTTTGTTTTTAGTTTGTAATCATTTTTATTCAAGGAACTATAAGGAGTAAATGGCTTTCTCTCATTACTGAAATGTCCTTAGTTCCAATCTAGTAACTTGAGTTCCCAAGAAACCAGCCAAATTTTGGCAGAGGTTAAACTTCCAGACCTTGTTATCTCCCGCATTTTATGCCCTCTTTTTCGTTTTGCTGTGTGCATTGACTTGTGTTGATACTAAAATTTAGGCCGGATAAGAAATGTGGGGGGAGAGGAACAAAGCTGGAGAGAAAGCGTACTCTCAGAGAAATAATAAATATTAAAAGCAAAAGCCAAACCCAAAATTTCCTTCATCTACAGGAGGCAGATTAGACTGGATTATAAAATTAATTCTTTCATTCATTTGACAAAGCTTTATTCAGCTCCTATTACACACCAGGCCTACAGCAGATGTTCAAACAACCAGTTGCTTCCTTCCTCTCTCACCTTTCTCCTCATACGCTTGGATCAAGTTGGCCACCAGAGTTCCTGCCTCCTTGCTGTTCTTGGGCTGTTTCGACCTCACCCATGTCTGAACCTCCTCTGGCAGGGTGTTCAGAAACTGCTCCAGCACCAGTTGCTCCATCATCTCCTCCTTGGTGTGGGTCTCTGGCTGCAGCCATTGCCAGCAGAGCTCCTGGATTTGGTTCACAGCTTGGTGAGGTCCGGTCATTGACAGGTACTGAAAATGCCTAAACTTTTCGTGAGAAACTTTCAGAACCCCTGGGTTCCTTATGGGGATGGTTTCTGGATTCTCTTCTTGATCATGTAGATGAAAGAGCTGGGGATTCCTCAAGATATCCAAAACCTCTGTCATCGGCAGCATCTTTAGAGCTTGGCCCTTTGCAGGATGGAGATCCTTTACTAGGCAGGTTGCTCCAGAATACACTGTTGTACAAGACGGTGGGCAAAGTTGTATCAGGTGAAGAAAGGATACAGAAACCTCACGACCTGCAGAAATTACACAGAGACTTAACAAATGGCCTGTACAGTTAGGACTGGACAGTGGGGTGGAGGTGATTTGAGGCAAACGGAGTTAGCTCATTTCACACAAATCACTCAATACACGATCACAGAAATCTACACATCTACAGACGTGATGCTCCCTCACTCCCATTCCCAGGTCTGGAAAGTCCACAGGCACAGGGTACAAGTATTTCAGAAATGGCATTGAAGGAAAAAGAGACTTGAACTCCAAGCCACAATGAACTGAACTAATTTGATGAACTACAGAAGAAAGAATTTCCTTTCAAAAAAGAAATGAGCTAAGAGGCCGGCCTCATGGCTGAGCGGTTAAGTTCGCACACTCCACTTTGGCAGCCCAGGGTTTCTCCAGTTTGGATCCTGGGCACGGACATGGCACCGCTTATCAAGCCATGCTGAGGAGGCATCCTACATGCCACAACTGGATGGACGCTCAACTAAAAATACAAAACTATGTACGAGGGGGCTTTGGGGAGAAAAAGGAAAAATAAAATATTTTTAAAATAAATAAATAAATGAGTTAAAATTACTGTGTATTATACAGAATGAGGAAAGATCTTTACAATACCTATATATCCTACAAAAGACTGGATTCATATGCAAAATATATAAAGAACTCACACAAACCAGAAAGAAAAAGGCAGACAAAACAACAGCAAAAAGGTTAAAAGATTTGAGCAGGTATTGCACAAAATGAGAAAGCTAAGTGACCAATAAACGTATAAAACGGGACTCAACTTCATTAGTTATCAGAGAAATCTGAACTAAAACCACGATGAGTATCACTACACACTCCCCAGAATGGTCAAAATGAAAAAATCAGACAATAGTAAGTCTTCGAGAGGAGACAGAGCCACCATAGAATGGTATATTCATACACTGGAACTCTAAACAAAAGTGAGAATATGGATGTATCTTGCTGTTGAGTGAAAGAAACCAGGCTCAAAAAAAAGTCCACATTATATGATTCAATTTATATAAAGGTCAAAAACAGGCAAAACAAATCTAAGGTGTTAGCCAGAATAGTGGTTACTGTTGGGACGGGGGCAGGGGGAACAGTGATAATGACTGTGGGGGGACAGCATAAGGGGCTCCTGAAAAGCTGGTAATGTTCTATTTCTTAATCTAGGAGCCTAAGACATGGACAGTGTGTTCCTTTTGTGAAAACTGAGCTCTATACTAATGGTTTATGACCTTTTCTGTATACACAATACATTTCACTAAAAAAGTGTTTAGCTGTGTTATAGTTGTGGGGAAACATCTAGGTTATAATGTTAAGTGAAAAAAAGCAGGAAACAAACTGTACCTAGAATACATGCTTAACCATATGAAGCAAAGGAAAAAACACTGGAAAGTAAACCAAAATACTACACCAGGGGTTATCTATGAGCAGGGAGATTACACTTTCCCCCTCAAAGCTATGTTCTACAATGAACTTCCATTTCTTCTATAACCAGGAAAATAAAAAATAACTTTCTTCTACAAAAGCTGTATTCACTCTACGAAACCACAAACAAAATTGCCATTTGGGGGAGACTTTGCTATTTTCCTCCCCACTAAAACACATCTGTTATTTCTATGACATAATTTAACCATTTTTCTGTCTGAAAGCATTTTGGGGTTTCATTACTATAAATTATAATGCAATGACCATCACTGAAACTATTTTTCCACATCCCTGATACTTCCCTTCAAGGCTAGATTTCTCAAAATAAAATTACCTGGACAAAGGGTATGAACTAAAAAGTTCTTAAAACTATCTGCCAAGTTTTCCTCCCAAAGGCTTCCACCAATTTCCTCTTCCAATCTCAATATATAAGACTAGATACTCACCTTGCAAGTCAATAGGGCCAGCTTCATGGGAATGCAACCAGTGCAGTCACATAGGGCCCGATGCTCAGAAAGGCCTCAAGCTTAGTTGAATGCTCTGTTGTTGCTGTCTTGAGATTTTCTATATTTTAAACAAGGGACCCCATGTTTTCATTTTGCACTAGGCCCTGCAAATTATGTAACTAATTCTGCCAGCCAACAACACTATCATTCTTCAAAAATCTGTTGCTGGGGCCAGCCAAGTGGCGCAGCGGTTAAGTGTGCACCTTCTGCTTCAATGGCCTGGGGTTCGTCGGTTCAGTTCCCGGGTGTGGACATGGCACTGCTTGGCAAGCCATGCTGTGGTAGGCGTCCCATGTATAAAGTAGAGGAAGATGGGCACGGATGTCAGCTCAGGGCCAGTCTTCCTCAGAAAAGAGGAGGAGGATTGGCAGCAGTTAGGTCAGGGCTGATCATCTTCTTCAAAAATAAAATCTGTTGCCAATTAGACAGATGAAAAATATCTTCTTATTCTTTAATTTTGCATTTCCTTCAGTTAATAATAAAGCTCAGTATTTTTTTCAGATTTTATTATTTTTATCAATTTATTAAAATTGTTCCTATCCTTTGCACTTTTTCCACCAGGGTGTTTCTGTTGCTGTTTGGCAAAGGCTCTATATAAAGAATATTCCTCATCCTACTTGCTTAAAAAAAAAAATTCCAGCTATGCCACACCTTCTCTTTAGCCTTTGTAGAATTTTAATATTTTAAAGTTCAAATTATCACTATCCATTCAGAGACCAGCTAAATAATCCAATTATATTTAAACATTCCACTTTCTTTAACTGGAATCTAGTCTGGGGTAGGGTGTGCGAAGAGTATAATTTTTTTCTAAAAACTTTCCCTGCACTACCAATTATTAAATTTGCTATCCCTTCCTTCTTGGGACAGGAGATGCCCCTTTGAATTAAATTTCTAAGTCTGCAGCCTCCAGGGAAGGATCCTGAGAAAGTGGTAGTGGAAATGACTCTGAAATCCTGCCAGCCTGCCTGCCTGCCTAGACTAGCGAAGTCCAAGGCAAGCTTAGGGAGTCACAATCCTTTCTCCCTGCCCAGAAAGGGAAAGTTTGACCTTGAACGGTCAAGGCCCTCTAGGCCCTCTAGGCCACAGGCACTGAAAGGAGGCTCAAGGCCCTGCCTCCTCAGAGGGCAACCTGAGCACCAGTCCCTTTCTCTTTTTCATAAATTCTTAACTGTGCTTTCCTTAAATTTTTATCTCTTGGATCTCAGCCTTATCTTAATCCTACATTCCTCATCATCCAAGTTTTAACCACTTACCTCAGTGGATCTAGGCACCTTTTTATTTTCTTCTTGACATTTTTTTCATTCAACCTTTATTTTCTAACTCTCAATACCACTAAAACCATTTGGGCAGAAGCTTCCCTAATGTCAACAAATTGTTTAATGACTTCAAGTTATTTTCAATGGCCATTGGTCTATCGAAGTTTTCTTTTTTTTAAATCCAATTTTTTAAAAGTACTTTTCCAGAAAAATCATCCATTTGCTTGAAACAAATATATTAACACGATTGAGCATAGTACTCTCAGAACACTAAATCGCCTAAGTATGCAACTTTATCCTTTCTTATCAATGATATTGCTTTATTACTAGTTTATCTTTTTAAATTATTCCTATTATTTTTTTTCTTTATTGCCATTTTCTCCCTCTCATCCCTAGTACCTGCGGCTAGTTCCTATCCTATTATTTTTGTTTTCTCATGTATTAATTTCATTTATCTTTATTATGTTCTTACTCCCAGTTTCTTTAGAGTTTTATCAGTTTTTTTGTTTGTTCACTTGTTTGCCGGTTTGTTTGGAGGACTTTGGGAACCTCCTGAAACAAATGCAGAATTTATTTTCATTCTTTCCTGACTATTGAAAGCTGTTACTTTCGGTTATATATCAAAATTTAGGAATGTCAGCACTTTTATTTTCATTATTTTCTTCATAGTTCATAATCATACTTCTGATTTCTCCACTGACCAAAAAGTTCCTTAAAAAAATATAATTTCACTTTCACTTTAAACATTCATTATTAAACATTTATTTGACATATGGGAAGTAAACAGTTTCTGTATTCTGAAACACTGGCCATCTCCACTAAATGATGTGAAAACCTGGGCAATTAGCATCTCTCTGAATTTAGCTTTCCTCATTTGCAAAAATGAGGGAAAAGAAGGAAAACCTTCTTTCCTGTGCTGCTGCAAGGTTTAAAAAAGGCGGGAGCTGAAAATCACGACGCACACCACCCTGAAGAATCTCGTTTTTAATCTACAATTAAGAAAAATGCTTTACAGTAAGACACATTATGTAATTTAATACAAAAATCATAGGAATGGGTTTTTTTGAGGGGGGGAGGAAGAGTGGCCCTGTGCTAACACCTGTTGCCAATCCTCCTCTTTTTCCTTCTTCTCCCCAAAGCCCCCCGGTACACAGTTGTGTATGTTAGTTGCGGGTCCTTCTGGTTGTGGCACGTGGGACGCCGCCTCAGCGTGGCCTGATGAGCGGCGCCATGTCCGCGCCCCGGATCCGAACCCGCCACACGCCGGGCCGCCGAAGCAGAGCTAGCGAACTGAACGACTGGGCGAGGGGCCGGCCCCTGAGTCGTAGGAAGTGGGAAACACACAGGGCAGCAAGCTTCCCGGAAAGGGACAAGGTGGTGTCACCGTCTCCTCAGACAGCGCCTTCCGGGTCCCCGCCCAGGGTCCTCCTGGGCACAGGGGCAAGTCCTACTACCGAGCGCTGAGCAAAGCAGCTCACGGCAAATACTCTCCAAGACTAAAAGCGCGGGAGGCCCCGGGCGCGGCGGCCGGCCGGATCTGGGCGGCGCGCCTCTGAGGGGAGGCCGCGCTCCGCCCAGCTCAGCGCCCGCGGCTCCTCAGCCCCGCGGCCGAGCTCGGGGACCGCCCGGGCCCCCACCCTCGCCGCCCCCGGGCTGCCGCGTCGTCCCCCCGAAGCAGGGCCTCGTCGTTCAGCGCGGAGGCTCCCATGCGGCGCTGCAGCCGGGCCGCCCGCCGCGGCGTCGCCTCACGGGCCCTCACCGCGTCCGCCGGCCGCCGCTCCTCGCGCCCTGAGGCCAGCCCAGGCTGCCCGCGCGCTCGACCCCGCCCGCGCGTCCCCTCCAGCCACGTCGCGGCCCGGGCTGTCCGCGCGCAGCACACACGCCCGCCCTGACTCCCGCGCGCGCTCACCTCGCGGGCCCGACGTCCCGGCCTGAGAGAACCAGCTCCGCCTTAGACTTCGCGCCCAAAGCCGCAGCGCATGCGCCGTGCCGGCTCTGCGCATGCGCTCTGCGGGGTGGCCGGAGCGCGGCCCGAAATCCAGGCCGCTCCCGGCGAGTTCCGCTGGAGGGCGCACGAGGACGTGGCTGCCTGGGGAGGGGGCGGGGCCGGAGGAACTGGGCGCTGTGGGGGCTTTCCTCCGTAAAATGCTCTAATTAGCTTTTTGAATACTTAATACATAGCTTAAAATTTTTCAAGCAAATAAAAAACATGCAGTGAAAAGTCTTCCTCTCAGCATGTGTGCCACCCACCAAATTTTTATGCCATAAACCACATACACACAGGTAACCACTGTAATTATTTTGTGTCCTTCCACAGTGTTTTTATGCATCTGTGGGTACATATAAACATATGTGTATATACATATGCATATTATACACACATGCACATACGTACATATGTGTGTGACTATCCCTGAGATATATACTCATTGTATACATTGTATATATTCATTATATAGTCATATTATGTACATTGATATATGTTATATACATAATATGTTATATATCTATACTATCGTATATATTCTGTATATATTATATCTAATATAAATGAGTATATTTTAAAATATAAATATAATATTTCTATAAATATGTTCAAATATTTTTAATGTAACAATCTATAATGCGTATTTTTGTATACACCATGACATATAATGTAATATATGTAATTATATAACATAACATATATTGTTACAATACATAGATTCACTACCATATATAATTATATATCTTAATAAATATGACTTTTATGTTTGCATAAATACTCGTATTCTCTTTTCCTCCCTTTTTTATACAAAAGGTAGCACACTTTACACACTGTTCTGTGCCTTAATTTCTTTTTACATGCCAGTATATCTTGGAGAGCTTTTCATATCAGTACAAATACAACTGCTAATCACATATTACTGATAATTAACCTATAATGTAACCAGGTACAAAGGCCACAGGGATGTGTTTTAACATGTTTCAGCAGGTTCTCAAATCTGACATGAAACTTTGATGACATTAGAATGAGTTATTTTTCAGGAACCAAAAGGGATGAGGAGACTGAAACTCTTCATTAAGGGAGGAAATAATGTCGGGCCCTGAGGGCAGAACAGAACATGAGAAGTCTGGAGAATGAATGCCAGAGATGCCTGACCCTCTCTTCCTGTTCTTCCCTCCTCCCCACATAACTGCCTTAAGATTTTGTGTTTGCTTAAGATGGTCTTTGGGATATGAGTCCACCATCTCCCAGTTTTGCTGGCTAATAGAACAAACTCCTTTCTCAACCACCAATTTGTCTTGCAATTGATTGGCATCAGGTTTCAGGGAGCAAAACAAGCTACACAAAGAGAGTTTTTGAACAGCTGTTTGGATTCTGTTACACAGTTATGACCTAATTTATTTAACTGTCTCCTGATTTCCGGACCGTTGAGTTGTTTTCAGACCTTTGCCACTGCAATCAGTGTTGAGTGCACAACCTTGACCTTCAGCAGTTCTACTCCTGTATAAATCTACTGGTAAGATAAATCCCCTTAAGCAGAATTGCTGAGGCAAAGGCACATGCATGTGTCATTTTGATAGAGATTTTGAAATTGCCTTCCATAGACACTGTTGCATCTTAGACCCTGTGGAAACTGGTAAAAGAAATCTTAACTAAATTGGAGTCCAGCAGGCCTGTATGGGGAGCTCTCACACCCTAGCAGACATCATCAATTACACCAAACAAGATGTATGGCTTGCATCTATGACAGGAAGTACAAGTACTTTACTACTGAAGGAAGACTTCTCTCCCCATGGAGCAACAGCCCAGCCGAGGAGAAATGCTGCAGCCCAGCCAATGAGAAGCCGTTGCTGCCCTGAACTGTTACTTGCCCCCAAAGGACTTTCCTTTAGAACAACCTTTTTCTCTGTAAAAGCAGCTCCCCTCCTTTGTTTTCTGGACTTACCTATGGTTTGCCATAGTATTTGCATCCTGAGTTGTAATTCTTTTAGCTGTTCCTGAATAAACTCGTTTTGAGGGTAAAATAGGCAAATTTGCATTTAAGTTGACAACCCCACCAGTCTGTGTTAGTGTATCTGCATTCCCACTGTTATGCTTTTTCGAATTTTCCAAAATGAGGGTTGAGAAATGGTCTCAGGGTAGTTCTAGTTTACGTTTCTCTTTTCATGAGCCAGGTAGAACATGCTTTCCTGTGTTTAGGAGCCATTTGTATTTAACTAAAGCACATTTATCAAGGGCTCAACATATGTGGGCATAGTGAACTGAGACATGTGCAATAAATATTTTATGCATGATGATGATGATGATGATGACATAGTGGTTAAGATTTCTTGAACATGCTGTATGCCACTTCCTGTTCTAAGCCTTCACAAAAATGTAATCACCCCTTCCCAAAGCCCTGTTAGGTAGGTAGTATTATCATTGCCATCTTACAGATGACAACACTGAGGCATGAAAGAGTTAAGTAACCAAGTAAATGGAGCAAACCAATTTGCCCCAGGAAGCACAAGGCTGGTACTGGGTAGTAGAGTTTGTTGGGGATGGGGACCAAGTTCGTTGGATGGATCCAGTCCTCACACTCAGCCCATTTCCTGAATGAGGAAACTCAAGCTCAGACAAATGGCCCAAAGCCACAGGCAGATCAGGCTGGAAGAAGACACAAACTCAGGTCTGTCCCTGACCTGATCATCCAGGGGTTCAGCCCCAGTGAGAGAGGGAAGCCCTGGATAGACAGAGCCCTGACCTTCCCGAAGGGCCCCGAATGAGTCATGGCCAGGCTGCAATTTGCAGACATGGAATCAGAGGCCCAGAGAAGCCAAGGACCCCAAACTGATGAGTCTGGGATTATTTTGAAAACTTAATTGATTTTGTGGATATCAACAAACTGATTCTCAAATTTATATGGAGAGACAAAACATCAAGAGTAGCCAACACAATACTGAAAGAGAAGAGCAAAGTTGGAGGACTGATGCTACCTGACTTTAAGACTTACTATAAAGCTGTAGTAATCAAGATAGTGTGGTATTGGTGAAAGAGTAAACAGATCAGTGGAACAGAATAGAGTCCAGAAATAGACCCACACAAATGTAGTCAACTGATCTCTAACAAAGGAGCAAAGGCAATACAATGGAGAAAACATAGTCTTTTCAACAAATGGTGCTGGAACAACTGGACATTGGCAGGCGAAAAAGTGATTCCAGACAGACCTTATACCTGTCAACCTTAAAAATAAAACAGCCAGTTATTTTACCAGAACAATGAGTATATTCTGGAGTTGCCAAAGAATTGTAATTCAGGATGTGCATGCTATGGCAGACAGTAGGCAAATTCAGCAAACAAGGGAGAGGACCATTATTTTATAGAGAAAAAGGAGGAAATTGGGAGGGGCTGCTTTGAATTAAAGTCCATTGGAGGAAAGCAAGAGTTCAGGGTAGTGATGGTTTCTCATTGGCTGAGTTGCTGGGGAAGTCGATTTCTGTTTGGGATGCACTGTACATTTCTTCCTGTAATTAATGATTCTTTCCTGTTGAAGACTTCTCTTGGGGTCTAATTGACTCTTTCCTGTAATTGACCTTGAGTGGTACCGCATGGGAGCTCCCCCTTCTAGCCCTTAAATGAGGTTTCTTTTTATTAATTTTCACACACCCTTCACAAAAATTAACTCAAAATAGATCACAAACCTAAATGTAAAACCAAAATTATGAAACTTTTAGAAGAAAACATAAGAGAAAACTTAGATGACCCAGGGTTCGGCTTTTTAGATACACACACCACACCCTGGCAGAGTCAAGCCCAGCCTCGTAAAGTCCTGGTGTGGGCCATCCCCCCAAGTTTCCCACCTCTGGGTGTACTTTATCTGGAAACCCACGATTAAGGGGTCATTTAAACTCTCTGAGCCTTACTTTGGCCCTCTGGGGAAAAAAAAGGACAGTAAGTTATTACATATCAGGTTAAATACATGTGCAGGGGAGGAAAAAGTTTTCCTTAACTCTCCTAGGGTCCTTGGCTGGGCCTGAAAATTAAACTGACAAAGACAGATTAAGAGGAGAAAAGCTTACAAGTTTATCTAATGAGTTTTATGTGACATGGGAGCCTTCATAAGGAAATGAAGACCCAAAGAAACAGTTATACCCAAGTATTTTCTGCTAGGTTTGATGAAGAGTGGACAGTCGTGGAGGAATGTGACAGGTTACGGAGTAGGAGGTAACTGTCAAAAACTGGGGGAAACTTAGCAAGCCTCGTTTGTTAGGATTCAGGGTGGCATCCCTTTGTTCTCAGAGATGAGGATGCTCCTTTCCTCCTGGTATAAGGAGCGCACCTCTCACATGAGGGCTTTGTGACCTCTTTCAGGGAAGCAGGTGCGGAGGTCAGAGTGACCTTCCTGCTTCTGGTGTTTCCTCAAACTCTTTCAGTTTCAATATGCCAGGTGCCATATTTTGGGGTGTGGTATCCTGAACCCCATCTCATGTCAAATGATTAAAAAGTGTCTGAGACCAGCTCAGGCACGTTACGTGCTGGATACAATTTTACTGTTATTACAGGATGAGGGGTGGGAGGCCTCTTCCTCCACCTCCTCTCCTGGGCTCCTGCTTCCCCACATCACTGTCCCTGTCTTTGGGGTCTTCAACCTGGCCTCAGACATCAGGCCTCCCCCTGCACCCCTCCCCACGAGTCCAGCCCCTGGTTCTGGGCCAGTCATTCCAGGAAAAGACACATCCATCCGCAGGTCACAGAAGCTCAAGCATCAGAGCGGCAGAGGCACAAGGGCCTGGCCTACTGGACAGGGGTGGCTGGTCGGGGTGCTGGGTCCTGCAGGATCAGCACACACACACACACAGTGACCCCCAGGCATGCAGTGACCCTCCTCACAATGTTGAGTATTCTCACCACTAAAATAAAATACAGTAAAACAACTATGTGAGGTGAAGGAAATGTTAATTAGCTTGATGATGGCAATCCCTTCACAATGCATACTTATATAAAACATCACATAGTAGACTTTAAATATATACAATTTTTATTGGTCATTTATACTTCAAAAGCTGGAAATGATACCAAGTAAGGGCTCGATCTGCTTGCCGCAAGATAAACGGCCAAGCAGGCGGTGGTAGAGAAAAAACTTTAATAAGCGATAAGCTAGCATATCAGAAGATGGTGGACTATCGTCCTAAAAAACCCATCTTAAAGGGATGTGATTTGGAAACGACTTATATAAGCCAGATGGGGGGGGACGGGGGGGCGAGTGTCAGGAGTGTCAGGTGATGGATGACGGCAGAACGTCGGGCGCCTCTCCACAGCGGATCTGCTGAATGCAACATTCCTGAGGAATCTGAGAAAACCTCAGTTCCTTCTTTATCTGGGACAGAAGGAACAGTTTGGGCAGAGGACATAAATTTTCTGCTAACGAGTTATTCTTTCTACTGGTTGCAGATTAGTTTGCCTACATGCAGTTCTAAGCATTTTTCCAAACCACACTGTGAGAATCAGACAGGGAGGGGGAATGTGGCCTTGGGGGCTGAAGTTCAGAGTCCTCTGTGCAGGGGCAATTGTCTTTCATATTTCTTATGACATGTGAAGCTTAGATCGGTCACTGTAGCTTCTCGGCGCTCCTGTGAGATGCTTAGTCAGGCGGAGGGCTGTCAGCAAGCTCCTTGATTATCCGCGGGCCTGGTCCTCCTGCTGTTCTGCAAGGCAAGCTCAGAAACTTTGGTTACTTTGTTTCCCACATTAACCTTATGGGTACAAGACAGGTTTCAGCCTAATCCCGGGACATTTTAACTCCTTTGTCCTTGGTTTCAGAAATATAAATCGATAAAATCTGCTTTTCTGGGGAAAAAAAGACACACAATGACACCTAGGCATGTGGTGACCTCCTTTACTGACTCCCACACACCCTCATTCTTACTCACAATGGCATATTTTCAAAAACTCCAAGACACCTCCAGGCCATCCCAGGCCTACTTAAAAAACTGAGAACCACTTGCAGATCTACTAACATACAAATGTTCAGAAACACATCCATATACACTCAGCAACATCCAGGCATACACACACACACACACACAGACACACACACACACACTTGCATATGCATTCACTCCTGGAATTCAAGGGACTCCCTCAACCTTGCAGGCCTTTTTGGAAACACTCAGACAGTCTCCCCCTTACACAAAAATGTGCAGATGCACACAGCTTCAAAAACCAGGCGTACCCATGAGTCACACACACAGACGACAGACCCAAATACAAGGTTGAGTACAACCTTGTTAGAAACACATATTTCATAAACTCTGAGGACATCGGGACATACAGACACAAACACATCTGCACACATACACTCCAGGGAAACTCTGAGACACCCACTCACTCAGTGGGCAGGCCTATTTGTCAATACTGAGACCCCTCCTCACACACTCACCCCTGCAGACACACACAGAAACTCCCAGTCCTTCCCAGACATGCAGACCCCCTCTCACAGACACCCAGGTTCCACCCTCATTCTCACCTGGGGACCCATCCCCCAGAAGCTGCCGCTCTCTGGGGCCTGCCGGCAGCATCTCACAACACCCACGGCCCAGCAGGTGCACGCAGACTCAAAAGCCTGTTTCCAAACACCCTTCTTTCTTCATATGCGTCCTCTACCGACCCCCAAACGCCTTTTGAGGGGCTCCCGCTGCCACAAGCCACCCAAACTGGCTTCAGGACTCCCCTTAAAAAATCATTGTCCTATGTTGTAGCCAGCCAAGCTGTAAACAACTCGTTCAGGGCTAAGTGGCTGCTCTGATTCCCCAGCGTCCTGGAGCCCTCCCCAATAGCCCCTGCCTCCCTCTTCTAACTAGCAAGTCCCAAGGCCCGACCCTCCTGCCGCTGAAGCCGTCTGGACCTGCACAAGCCCCCTCCCCGCATCAGGGCCAGCCCCTACTTCCTCCCGCCCCACTCCTGTCTTCTCTCCTCCCTCTGGCCGGAGAATTCCACGCGATAGGGACTCGACTCACATCTCAGAAGCTGCCTGATTACTGTTGGCCGCCCTCACGTGCTGCCCGAATGGTCAGCTGGGCTCCGCACCCCGCGCCCCCGCTGCGCCAGCCCGCCGCCGCCTGGGGCTCATTTTGCGCCCCTGCCCTGAATGCGGACGGTCCCATCCCAGCTACAGCCAACTCAGCATCCTCCCCGCCCACAGCTCACGGGACAGACAGGGAGCGACAGAACCGGCGCTCAGAGGAGCTCCCGGCCGCCCCCCCAGCCCCTGCACGTGTTAGCGTCGGTCGCCTGAAAGCGAAGAGAAATATATAGCCCACGGTTAACATAAGGGAAGCCATCTTCTAGAGGGAGCCATGTTAGGACCATAAATGAGCCCGATCCACAGGACACCCCCCTCCTTCTGAGCAGTACTCGTTTGCACGTAGCCTAGATAAGTGCACAGCTGCTTGTGAGAAATATGCATGCTCTGCTATTTTTCTTGGTTTATACTTGGATCTTATATTTAGTCTTGGCTTATACTTCGACCTCCCTATTTCGATAAGGAAATGACTTTGTTCTCTAAGTTTTCCCAGGGATGTAACGACCTCCAGGAAAAAGCCTTCTGCTGGTATCCGTCACCGGTGACAAGAGGAGGAATGATCTGGAGTCTCAAGGACTACAATACCAGATGGTCCACATCCCAAGACACTGCCGCCCCCCCTCCTCCTTCAGCCCATTGGGTCTATATAACTGCTTCAAAATTTTGTAGTTTTAAGATGGTTCTTTAGGACGCTAGTCCGCCACCTTCCCCCTTCATAGCAAGCTGTAATAAAAGGACCCTCTCTCTCCCACCACCTGGCCTCTGGACTGCTGACTTGGCTGTGCCGCCAGTAGCAGGCCCCTTTTGGCGGGTACACACATACACACGCAGGTCAGGTAATTAAAACAGCTCTTGAGAAGGCGCATAGGCAGTTTACGCGCCGGCTACAATTTTATTGTTATTAGGGGGTGGGGACCTGGGGGTGTCTTCTTCCACCTTCTCTTCGGCCCCCAGCTTCCCTTGTCACTGGGGTCTTCCTAGTGGGCCTCAGAATCAGTCTTCTACCCCAGAGCCGCTGCCCCCTGCCCAGCCCCTGGTTCTGGGCCAGGCCTTCCAGGGGAAGGGAAACCACCACTGAAGAAGATCCGCAGGTCACAGAGCTTCACGCTTCGGAGCAGCCGAGGCACAAGGGCCTGGCTTACCCGGATTAGGGGTGGTTGTGGGAAGAGGGCTGGGTGTGTAGGATCATCAGACACACAGTGACACCCCGCACGCAGTGACCTCCCCTCATTGACTCACACACACACACTCCTACCCACATGGCATACTTTCAAAACCTCAGAAACACCCCCTAGGCCTCACAGGCCTTTTAAGAAATGTAAGGCTCAGTAGCAGACGCAGAGCACACAAAAATGCAGATACACAGCTCAAAACAACTAGCACACCCCGGAACAGACACACACAATTTTGTTAGAAACACATTTTCAGATACACATGGAGAACACCGAGGATTACAGACACAAACATCTGCCGACACACACTCCAGGGAAACTCTGACACCACCCACTCAGGCGGGCAGCCCTATTTGTCAATACTGAGACCCCTCCTCACACACTCAGGCGTGGACACACACACACACACACACACTCAGGACACACACATCTGCAAACGCACACCCTGAAACTCCAAGTCACCCTCCTAGACACGAGATCCTTGCTCGCTGACATCCCAGGTCCCACGCTCATCCTCACTGGGGGCCCATCCCCCAGAGGCTGCCCCCCATGTGCGCCCACCCAGCATCTTTCAGCCCCACCCACAGCCGGGCACGCGCACGCATACCCACTGGAGGCTACAAGCCTGTTTCCCAGCGCTCTTCTCTTTCGTGAATCTTCATACCCATCCTCCGCGGACCCCTAAATACCTCCTGAGGGGCTCCTCTGAGCTCCATGCCCCCCAAACTGCCATCACTGTTCCCCCCAAAAATCATTCTCCTGTGCCCCAGCCAACCAAGTCAGTGACTGGTTCCCCTGACCCCTCCAGTGTCCTGGAGCCCTCTCTAATACCTTCTGCCTCCCTCATCAGGCTACCATGCCCCAAGACCCAAGCCTCTTGCCTCTTAAAAGCCCTCCAGATCCATCCCCAAGCCCTCCAGCCCGTCCTGAAGGGAGCCTCTTCAGTCCCCTCCTTCGGGCCAGCCCCATCCTCCTCTGTCCCCTCCTGTCTTCTCTCCTCTCAGTGACCTAAGAAATCCATGCAACCTAAAGTCAACCCCCAACTCAGAAACAGTCAGAGAGCTGCTGCCCGCCCACAGGGGTGATGCCTGCATTCTCAGCTTGGCTCCACAGCACACCTGCCACACTGCTGTGCTGTCCTCAGCCCTGCCTCTTGCCCCACAGCAGCAGGAATGCTCTCTATTCTGTTTCATTGTCTATATGTCTGTTTTTATGCCAGTATCATACTGTTTTTTACTGTAGATTTGTAATATATTTTTAAATCAGGTAGTGTGATGCTTCCAGCATTGTTTTTCTTGCTCAAGATTATATTGGCTATTTGGGTCTTTTGTAGTTCCACATGAATTTTAGGATTTTTTTTTCTATTTCTGTTAAAATACTATTAGAATTTTGATAGGGATTGCATTGAATCTGAAGACTGCTTTGGGTAGAATGCACATTTAAACAATATTATTTCTTCCAACCCATGAACATGGGATATCTTTCCATTTATTTGTCTTCAATGCCTTTCACCAAAGTTTCAGTTTTCAGTGTATAGCTCTTTTACTTCTTATGTTAAATTTATTCCTATTTTATTCTTTTTGATGGTACTGTAAATGGAATTGTTTCTTAATTTCTTTTTCAGACAATTTGTTATTAATGTATGGAAATGCTGATTTTTGCATGTTGATTTTGTATCCTGCAGCTGTATTGAACTCATGTATTAGTTCCAACAGTTTTCTTCTATTTCTATTAAAATACTATTGGCAATTTGATAAAGAGCCAGAAGTAAAGGCATGCATCTTCAGTCAACTTTTCTTCAACAAAGGTGCCAAGAACAGACAATGAGGCATGGATACTTTCTTCAACAAATGATGCTGGAGGTGACATCAGCACCATGGCAGAGTAAGTTGCTCCCTTAGTCTCTCCCCCCAAGTTAGAACCAAACAGACATTCATTAAACAACAGAGGATTCTGTATTAAGCACAATAGGACGTCTGAGAGGTCCACACAGCCATACATCTGAAGACAGGGGTACTGGATCCCCAAGAAGCAGTGGAAGGAGGTGAGAGGATCCCTTCTCCTCAGTGGCAGTGATCTAGGTTGCAGGTCCTCACACAGCAGCCACATGCAACTGTAAGAGGAGGTTGGGGGTGGGGGCGTGCAGACAAGCCTGCCAGCGAACACTTTTGCTTTTGGAGTTGCAGCCTGGCCTGTGGGAATGCTCCACACTAAGTGGCGTGGCTCAGCCACTGCATGGGTGCTCCCACCAAGCACAGCAGCCCAGATGAACCATCCATGACAGCAGAGTAGGCCCACATGTGCAAAAGAAAGTGCTCCTCCCCTCCTAGTGCACCAACTCGGCAAGTCCCCAGCCAAGGCAGCAGTTCTGCACCAGAGCATGTGTGTTCCGCACCTGTGTGTGCATGTGTGACCTGCCTAGTGGCTGTGGCCAGAGGGGAAATGCAGATGAGCCCTACTGGCACACCTTCCTGCAGATGCTGTGGGTTCAGAAAAACCAGCTCTCGCACACCCCCAGAGGTGGCAGGTGGAATCTGCAACCTGATACTACTACAAATATCTCAGCAAAGGATCAGTGCATCAAACACCATGAAAAATTACAGTAACACTTCAGAGCAGAAGGAAAATGATAAGTATCCAGAAACCAATCCTGAAGTCACAGAAATTTACAATCTAAATGACAGAGAATTCAAAATACTTGAATTCTATAAAGAAACTCATTGAGTTACAAGAAATCTCAGAAAGACAGTTCAATGAACTCAGGAATAAAATTAATGAGCAGAAGGAATACTTCACCAAAGAGATTGAAACTCTAAAGAAAACCAAACAGAAATTCTGGAGATGAAGAGCACAATGAATGAGTTTAAAAAAAAAAAAAAAACAATCTAGAAACCTTAAGAAACAGAGTTGATGTTATGGAGGACAGAGTTAGTGATTTAGAGGACAGAAATATAGAAATGCTTCAGGCGGAGGAGGAGTGAGAATTAAGATTTTTTAAAAAATGAAGAAATTCTTCAAGAAATATCTGACTCAATTATGAAATGCAACATAAGGATTCTAGGTATTCCAGAGGGAGAAAGGAGCAGAGAGTTTGTTCAGAGAAATAATAGCTGAGAACTTCCCAAACCTGGGGAAGGAGCTGGATTTACAAGTAAATTAAGCCAATAGAACTCCTAACTACATCAATGCAAAAAGACATTTTCCAAGGCATATAATAGTAAAACTGGCAAAAGTAAATGACAAAGAAAAAATATTAAGGGAAACCAGGCAGAAAAGAATACTCTAAAAAGGAACCCCTATCAGGCTTTCAGGAGATTTCTCAGGAGAAACCTTACAGGCCAGGAGGGAGTGGAATGACACATTCAAAATACTGAAACACAAAAACTTTCAGCCAAGAATACTCTATCCAGTGAAACTATCCTTCAGATACAATGGAGAAATAAAAGCTTTCCCAGATAAACAAAAGCTGAGGGAGTTCATCGCCACTAGACCTCCCTTACGAGAAATGATCAAGGGAGCCTTCATACCTGAAACAAAAAGGCAAAGGTTTACAAAGCATTCAGCAAGGAGATAAATAGACACACAAAATCTGAAAATTGCAGTTCTCTATCAGAACAGGTTAGCAAACACTTAATTATAACATAAAAGACACAGGGAAGGACAGCACAAAAAATAACTATAAACACTTCAGTTTAGTCACAAACTCACAACACAAAACAGAATAAGTTGTGACAAGAATAACTTAGAAGAGGAGGAGGAAAGGGATGGAACCTGCTTAGGCTAATGGAGATAAGAAGCTATCAGAAAATGGACTATCTCATCTATGATATCTTTTATACAAAACGAAAAATCAGAGGAGAGACAAAAATCATAAGTAAAAAGAAAACTGAGAAAACCATCACAGAAAACCACCAAACTGAAATAACAGTCAGAAATACAGGGAAGGGGCCAGCCCCATGGCTGAATGGTCGAGTTTGCACACTCCTCTTTGGCGGCCTAGGGTTTTGCCAGTTCAGGTCCTGGGTGTGGGTGTGGTGCTGCTTGTTGGGCTGTGCTGGGGTGGCATCCCACATAGCACAACCAGAGACACTCACAACTAGAATACACAGCTGTGTACTGGGGGGCTTTGGGGAGAAAAAGAAGAAGAAGTAAAAA